CGTCGATGTTAGTTGCGTATGTGTTATCTGTAAAATGCATTGTTTTTGTTTGTTGTTTTTGTTTGCTTTCTAGTGATTATTCCTGTAAAATCTGATGAGTGTTTGTGTGTTTCGATTGAGTTTAGACTTTTGTGTTTGTGAATTTCTGTATTGAGAATTGATTATTAAGTACAATAGTTGGTTGAGGATTAATTTATTCGTTGCTTTGTTTTTGTCTATAGTTGTAGATGTTATGTTTTGTGAGAGTGACGTTTATTGATTCAGCTGTTGAATTTTTTTGTGTTTTTGTTTACTGCCGTTATGGAACGATTATCGTGAGTTGCTGACACCAGCGTATGTGTGTGTTGTGTCTGTATTGGAGATGTTTTTTTGTAGTGTTGCTTTGCTTCGTTCATGGAGCATTTGTTTTGTGTTTTTATTATATTCTCCCAACCTGTTGCTACAGAGTATAGTAGTTTTGTTTACCTAACGGTTGTTTGTATCACCTAAAACTAATCGAGTTAGATATAAGATTATGTATATATAAATGATCAGGATGAAGAGACGAGTTGAAATCCGGAAGACTGTCTGTCTGTCCGTCCGTCCATCCGTCTGTGCAAGCTGTAACTTGAGTAAAAATTGAGATATCTTTATGAAACTTGGTAGACATGTTTTTTGGTACCGTGAGACGGTTGGTATTGCAGATGGGCGTATCGGACCACTGCCACGCCCACAAAACGCCATTAATCAAGAACAAATCAAATGCCATAACTAAGCTCCGCAATAAGATACAAGACTGTTATTTGGTACACAAGATCACATTAGGGAGGGGCATTTGCAGTTCAAATTTAAGTGGGCGTGGTTCCGCCCCTAATAGGTTTAATGTGCATATCTCCTAAACCGCTAAAGCTATAATAACAAAATTCACTGGAAGCAAATGTGTTTAGCCCCTCTATCGACAGTGTGCAAATGGGTGAAATCGGGTGACAAGCCCGCCCACTCTCCATATAACGGTACTGTTAAAAAATACTAAAAGCGCGATAAATCAAGCACGAAACATACCAGAGACATTAAATTTTATATCTGGGATGGTATGAGATGACTTTATAGCAACCGCGTTCAAAATAAGTCAGTGGGCGTGGAACCGCCCACTTTTAGGTGAAAACCCATATATTGGGATCTGCTTAACCGATTTCAACCAAATTCAGTACATATCATTCTTTTCATATTTCTAAATTATAATGCGAAAATGGGCGAAATCGGACTAAAACCACGCTTATTTCCCATATAACACCATTTTCAATTCCCTTTGATTCTTTCACTTTCTATTATGCATATCAAGCAACAATGATTATATCGCGATAAAACTTTGCGTGAATAATACGTTTAAAATATGCCACCTTGTGACCAAAAATTGTGGGCTAAATCGAACCAAAAATGTTCAAGCCCCTAAGTACTAAATATGTGGACCCCAGTGCCTATAGTTGACCTTCTACCGAAAATATCAGTCAATCCACAAAGAAATCTCAAACGAGTATACCATTTGACTTGACAGAGTATAAAACGTTCGGTTCCATCCGAACTTAGGACTTCCTAACTTGTTTTTAATATCTCTTTTTGCTGAATGAACTTTTATCAGTCTCTAGAAGAGGCTGCGTGCTTATCAGCGCAATTCGCACATTGGGTACGAATGCAAGTCGTTGGGGCATGGGAGGGGAGATTGCAGTTTACGCAGCTTGGATTTTTTTCGCAGTGTTTGGCTGTATGGCCAAGAATCTGACATGATTTGCATCTCATTGGATTCGGAATGTATTGTCTTATCTTAAGAGAGTACCATGAAACGTCGATTTCACTTTTTGACCTTCACAAATGATAGCAACACTACCCCGCTAGGTAAAAGAGTACCATTTACGTTTTTTACGAACGAGCATGAATTTAAATTTTTTTGATTTTAAATAGCTTATGAAGAGATTTTAGCTTGTTTAATGTATGTTGTTGCTATAATATGTCATAGTGATTGTCAGGAGTGATGAGTCAATAGCAGCCGTCATCATAAAATGGCCAGCGAGTTTATCCTAAAATGCGCAGTTGCGACAAAGGGGTGCATTCATGCAACCAGCAGCTCTGTGGCCTTCCTGACCGCACCTTCGACAGACATCTGACTTAGCCCAACATTCTGTCTCTCTATGAACAAAACCCATACACCGGAAGCAGCCAGCAACGGGGTTATCTAGTCGCACACAAAAGGAGAACCACTTGATGTATCACCTACCTGCCTCCAAGAGGGTGGACATCATTTTGTCCGTACCCTCAAGAGCGACACTAGTGCTACCATCAGGAGCCACCTTCCAGGGACGACTGACCATCCTCACATCTGACATCTGGAACGCCGGGCTAAAGTCCTGCAGCTTCAACCGGAGTAGTTCTTCCATGAATTCCTCATGAGAGATCTCCGTGTGAAGACCCTGGATCACAACCTGAAGATCCTACTTCCGGTTGACCACCTCCCCGAATTTTGCGTTAGTCGCCACTTTCTTCCACTTCAACACAGAGGGAGTGCGGATAACCGCCCCATTACCCTTAATTGGCCTAACTTCGTGGATCCTCACCCCTAGAGAAGGACCCACCTCTTTCACTACTTTCTTGATAACTTCCTTAGAGGAAGTTGGAGGCCCCTTACTCCTGATCTCAACCGACCAGGTCTCAACAAGCCTCGGCCTCACCGGTTCAATCGCCTCCAGTACAGTAGCTGGGGGCGCAGTCATCGGTGCCGGTGATGAAGCCGGCATTGACCTGCTCGGCGGCTAGGAATGTCTCCCAGAGCTTCCTCTAAAGGCGTCAACCTGACCACGAAGAGGGACATTCTCGGTTATGACCGTCATCAAGAGTGCCTCGTATAACGAGGCAAGCTCCGTCAGTCTCTTCGCAGTTCCCACTTCAAAGCTCTTGCTCCTACAAACCAACCCACTTAATTCCCTGGGATGCTCTTTACAGCCGCGACGTGGTTCACCGCACCACCCCCAACAAGAACAGCGGCCTTGGCAACTTTCCGGTAACCATCCTTGTTCACATTGGTCCGCACCGTGGGCTTAACATTAACCACTATGACCTAAATTTACAATGGAGTCGGCGCGTCTAATACTGGGGCAGCCGCCCGCACCTTATGAACAAAACTGCCCAAATCCCTCCAAAAGCAGCAGCAACTAAACACCAAGACACTCAACACAGCACTCTTGAATAGGCAATCTAATCAGCAGAAATACCAACACCACGGCACAATCACTAAGACTATGCAAGAGCCCACCCACCACCAAAAGCTATACCACCCCACAAATAAACACTGTACCCAAATCTACCTGAAACCTAAACCAAACTCTTGCACTCAAGCAGGCGTTGTAATCGTATACAAAGCCTACTACGAAATTCACAAAAATGCTCAAGTACAATATATATTAAAATACCTGAGCACCAAGAAACTACTCCTCAATACACTAGTACACCAGTATAGTATCAAAGCTTAAAGTGCTCGAACACACAATCAAACAAACACTAAAAACACCTGTTTTAACTCAACAACAAAGTCTGCTCATAGAAATCTACTATAAATATACTCACAAAAACTTATTTACTATAAAACTCACACGTACACAAATATCGAAATAATTGAAATAAACTTCAAATTATACGCGAGCACGTCGGAACACTTCGAATGCCTGCAAATGAATGACCCCTATACGGATAGTCTAACATGCCTATATCGACTCAGTTCGGCACGCTGATCAGTAGGGCCTGTGACGTTTTTCCATCTGTGTGTTACTAACTACGTGGCAAACTTAATATACCTTGAATGTACGTAGGTTGGCTTTTATATCTCAGGGTTTCGCAACGCTTTTGTTGCGGTCTGGCAACTGACATTTATTACAATTTTTGACATAGATTAACTCAGCAACATTGCATCGACGAACTTAAATCAATTTTTGACGATGAAGCTCCAACAAAAATCAATGTTTATTGATGGTATGGTGAATTCAATCGGGGTTGTAAATCACGCCTTGACGAATTTAGTGAAGGTCGCCCAAAATCAGTTGTTGTTTCGAAAACTATTCAAGCTGTGCACAAACTGATATTGCAAGATCGTCATGTCACTTATCGTAAGTTTCAGACGACTATAGGCATTAGTTGGGTGAGCATACATTCAATATTGAATGAACATTTGACTGTAAAAAATTTTTTTTACGTATGTTAGGATCCCACACACTTTATCAATCGTTCAGAAAAATGCTCATGTCGATTGGTCGAGAGATATGTTAAGAAAATACGATAGCTGAGCTTCGAAACACGTCCATGACATCGTGACAGATGATGAATCGTGGACTTACGAGTATGAGCCCGAAAATTAACAGCAGTTGACTGTATGAGTGTGTGCAAGGCAACCATTTGTTCGAAAGTGGTTTTTTTGGAAAAACTGGACATGTCGCAACCATACCACTAGAACAACGCAGAACAGTAAATTCTGAGTGATACACAACCATTTGTTTGCCAGTTGTCTTTTGAGAAACGATGCGAGCTACCACACATCGACTGAAACAACTGCAGTTTTGAGCACACAAAACTTCGATTTGATGAGGCACACACCGTATAGTGATGACTTGACACCGAATAACTTAGTTTTATTCCCGTAAGGAAAAGATAAACTAAGACATCAATCGACATCTGAAGAGGCAGTTGATGCGTTCAGATTGCATGTTTTGGAGATACCTCAATCAGACTGACAAAAATGCTTCGACAATTGGTTCAAACGCTTGCAAAAGTGTTTATAAGTGAACAGAGCATATTTTGAAAAACAGCAAAATGATTTTCGATGATTCGTTTCGATGTTGTTGTTCTCTAATCCCGAATTATACAAGGCAACCCACGTATACAAAATGATACATATTTCCAACATTTTTTCTCCTTTTCTTTAGCTAAAAAGTCACATAGATACATATTCCGAGCAAAAATTAAACGTGCTGCAATTAATTTTTAGATATGTGTTTTTTATTTGGAAATCTCTCAATACTTTTATTTATTCTAGTAATTAATATATAATTTTTGCTTCTCTCTGCCCTCATAAACATACATACATACATGGAAATGCAGTAGCTTCGTTAAAATTAATTTTACATATTTGATTTCAAATGCAATTACTTCAATTTTATTTTATATGCTTTCATTTCTTTCATTAAATTTACTCAATTTCGATTGTTTATGCGTATGTGTGTGTTACTAAAATTTACTTCTCTGCTGTTAGGCAGATACTTTTGCAATTTTTTTTTTTTGCATTCTACTTTGATTTTGCTAGAGTTTTCAACATCGACACACAATTAATTTACTTATTTAATTTGCTATAATAGCACATGCCTCAAATTCATGAGTTTTAAGTTGCCAGGTTCATTTCAAGCTTGACTAATTGATTTCTATGATTTCTAAATTTCTTCGCAAATTTCTGCAATTTCTTATATTTAGATTTCATAGCATACTTGTATGTACAGCACATACAAATTAGTTTTGTTCTTGGCGTTTCAAGCTAAATTGTTTTTGTAGCTGTCGAATGTGTTTGTGGCATTGCAGTGGCAATGTGTGAAGAAAATAGTTGAGTGGATATTTTTTCAAGATTTAAATTTTTGTTGTAAATTTCAAGTTAAATTTTACTATTTTGTTGCAACAGTACAGTAAAGTAAAGAAAAAGTGCAACAACGCCAATTAAGTTGTTTTAGATTGTTGCATGACAAGTGGCAAGTTGGCAAATTTTCAAATATCAAAATAATTTATTTAAAAACATCTAAATTGGCTTTTAGACACGCTTAACCGCTCTGTAAGCGCCTTTTACTTCTATTAAACGCATTGAATTTATGATTTTGCAAATTTTGATTTATTTTATTCGAACAATTTGTTTGTCTATATTTTGCATGCGATCGTACATTCCTATATACATACATTCATATTCTATATTTGCTGCTTTATTCTCGCCTTTGAACCAGTTTTTTATTTTATTTTTTTTTGTAACTAACACAATTATTTGAAGATTTGCTATTTAGTTTCTCTCTTTTTCACTTTCGTATTTAATAACTTCTTTTATTGAATTTTTATGTATTTTTAATTTAAAAAGCATTGCTCTCTCGTTTACTGCTAACATTTGCATTAATTTTCAATAGATTCAATTTCACTTTATTTATTTTTTTTTTTTCATTATGCTTAAATGCGTATTCTGTAATGCTTGGTTTAATTACTTTTGTTAAAGAATTAATTCAGTTTTGATTTCCCTAATAAAGTATTCGTAACAACTTTTGCGTGTGATTTCTACACACTTACTTATACAAGTAGTTTACATGTAGGTATGTATATGCATATATTTACATAATTTGTTTAAGTTTGTATTGTTTAGTTTTGATTTCATTCCTTCAACCACTTGGCCTAACACCTAAACTTTGTGCTCTAACTACTTGCATACTGTTTTCATATTATTTTCAAGTTATTTCTAGTTAATTATATTTTTAATTCTTTGTCATATGCACTTAGACACAAACATATAATTTAATTTGTCTTTTTCTTTTGATTATTGCTTATTGAATACATTGAATTATTGAACATTTGCATATATTTACAGTTAGTTGCTAAATATATATTTTACTGGTGTTAAAATTTGCATTCTCAATTGCTTGCAATATTTACAGCATTCATCATTTCTTGCCTAGAATTTTTTTTTATCAGATAAGTGTATATATTTAGAAATAATTTTTTTATTAAAATAGGAATTTATTATTTACATTTCGTTTGCTTAGAATTTTATTTATTGTATTTTCCACCAACGTTCTTTGCATAACATCGAAAGTGTACATATTGCTTTTGATTAATAAAATCTTGTTTTTTACTCTTTGTTGAAATCGACAGCAAAATCAAACTTATCATAGAAGTGTTGAAAATAATTTTTTTTATATTAATTCAATTTGTTTTTATATTAAATTTTTGTTAATTAAATTTTTTTTGTTTTGATTTAAAGTTTTTAATCTTTGTTCGACAGCAAAATAATATAGAAACCATATAAAAATAGTTATTTCAAAATAAATTTAATTTTTAAATTTTAATTATTTTTTATTCACTGTTTTTTAATTTTTTAATTTTTAAAATTTAAAAGTTTATAATTTTTAATTTTTTAAGTTTTTTAATTTTTTAAATTTTAATATTTTTATTTTTAATTTTTTTTACTCTGTTCAAAACAAAGCGTTACCTAACCGGAGTCTAAGTGAAATTGTAAGAAGTGCTGTGAGTACGAGTATTAGCGCTGTAAACCATAAAATGTTTGTTTTTATTCGCGTTAGCCGAAATTTTAATTTACACTGCCATTTGCAAGTTTTCACTAAATATTCTAGCTTTGTTATTTAAAAGTTCAGTGTATTATTATTAATTTTATATAGGTATATAATTTTTTTTTTTTTATAAAAGTAAAATTAGAAAAAAGATGGCAACGCTTGAAAAGTGTTAAGGTACTTATATGTTTACAAAATCATTTTGTGTTAATTAATTTTTAATTATTGAATAAAGCATGCTTTAGCAGAAAGTGGAGAGGAGAAGAGCACATATATTATAAGTACTGACACAAATTCAGTTATGTAACTTTCTTCCATTTGAATAAATATTTTTGTAAAAAATTTTGCTTGTAAGATATTCGCTTTCGAAAATCTAGTAGTCAGTGTTGTAAGAATTTCGGAAAGCTTTTGCAGAATTTTCATCTTTAAACCATATACAAAAATAAATTATTGCCCTTATTTTGGGTTCGTGTAGTATAAAAGTAAATATACATATTTTAATAATAACGATTTCAGAAGGTGACAACATATATGTACTATACAGAAAATGCTTTTGTGTTGAAAGAGACATAAATTAGTTCATAAAAAAAATATTAGTCTAAGAGTCTGGCAACATAATTTCAGCTAACATATGTATTTCATTTGAGCTTCGTGGTGTAAAAAATTTTTTTAAATATACATTTTCGAAAACAGCAGAATTTTAGAAAGCATTTCGAAATTTTTAACTTTAGACACATAAAAAAAAAACTGTTGCCACATTTAGGGTTCATATTGGTTAAAAATAAATATATGTTAATAAAAATGATTTCGCAAGGTGGCAGCTTTGATTTTCAGCTCTAAAGTAATTTCATGCGTATTTTCAATGCAATTAATTACTCATTTTTATTTGTTGGTGTATTTAAATTAAATATTTGCAAACAATTCAAGAGGAGAACCGAAAGAAACGTGCACAGCTTATTTTGTAGCTGGACATATGTCGTTAATTTCTATAATTAAATGCATAAAAGTGGAAAAAAGTAAGCGAAAAAATTTAAAATACAATTAAATTAATACGATGCGCTTTTAATACTAACCAACTATACATAAGTAACGACAAATTGAAGCAAAAAAGTCATGGACGTATTGAAATATCACGTATTTATGGTGTGCTTGTGTGTGTGTGTGTAAAGTTGATTTTTAATTTAATTTAATGCACAAGTGTGTGTGTGTGTGCGCATACGCTCATTCTAATTATATTAATTTCTTATTGTTTATGTATGGTTGAATGTGTGTGTGTGTTTGTGGTTGCGAACTGCAATACACAATTTTCTTCGTTTCATTTTGTTGCTGTTTTTATAAATACTTTTAAATAAAATGTTTTGGACTTTTTATTGTTGTTGTTTGCGTTGTTCTCAATCAATTTGCATAAATGCTGCGAAGTTTTTTGTACATAAAAATTGCCGCTAAAACATACAATAATTAAATGCTATTTAATAAATGCCATCACCTGAGGAAGTACTCAAATTACAAATGCAAAATATCCGTTATACACATATCTCTCTATATATATATAATAATTTTTTTAATAATATACTATAAAAGCGTTGTATTTACTTTTTGTGTTTGCTATAATAACAATGCGTATGTGTGTGTGTGTGTGTGTGTGCGTGTGTATGAATGTGTGCATTATTTATATTAACTTACTGTACATTTGAACTGAAGCATATTCGAACGCGTCATCACAGCGATTTACATAACTACCATACCATACATATACAAATATAAATACACATATGTACAGTTATATGATAATGAAGTGTTGATTTTTACTTTAATGCTACTCCTCACTTAATTTGCGTATTTTTTACATCTAATTAACATAATGTAATAAGCGAACTAAATTAAAAGCGCCGTGCCATTTGCTGTTGGGCTATTGATCCCTATCCAGATTAGTATTAATGTTGTTGATGTGTGCGCTGATTGTACTGCTGTTGAGTGTGTTCGTGGTGGTGTTGGTGGGCGTGATATCATTGAATATGCCCGTATGGGTCGGTGTGGATAGCGCTGTTGACGCTGATGCAGGCGCTACCGCCGCCATTGTAGGCGCCACATTTGTATTTTTACGCAAGTGGTTGCGCAATATCACTAGATTTCTATTTAAATTTGCCGTAGCGCTGCCAACGCCCGCGCATGTGGCCGATGCCGCCGCCAAGGCGCTGGACACGACAGCGGCTGCAGCGGCGGAAGACGGCGGATGTGGCAAAGTGCTGCAGGCAGAGCCAGGTAACAGGCCAGCGCTGCCCAATAGGCCGCTGCTGCCGCAACCAACGATGCCTGCCGAGGCAGTGGATGTGGTAGGTGAAGTGGCGCCACCACCGCCCAGCGCACCGCCGATGCTGCCGCCAGCCAAACCCACGCCGGGTCCAGGTAGGCCAACGCCAAGCATCAGCTCGTGCGCGAGTATGGTGGGTAAGTGTTAAGTGCTGTTCTTCATGGGACCCGAGGACAGCGAACTGCTGCTGACACCCGAATCGCTGGACTTCTCGCTGAGGCCGCCGCCGCGTGTTAAAGTGTCTTCGCCCATTAGGCTGGCGCCCAGTAGCGCCTTCTTGCCAACGCGTGCGGAGAGTCCTGCTTTGAATGGATTTTCCTTTTGGCGGCGCGCGCTTTCGACGCGCTTCATAATCTCGCTGGAACACTTGGTCACGACATCGTCCAAGCTGTTCGACTCATCGGTGGAGGGTATGTTCTGTGTGGGTGTCTGCGAGGTGGGCACGGGGGAGCCCTCGTAACAGCCAGAGTCGCGTGGAAAGTGCCGACGGCCGAAGGGTGAGGCGCCATGCTTCTTGTTGATATTATTCAGCCGTGTCTCGTCATTCTCCGAGCTGGAACCGGCAATGTCGCCATCTGAACCTGTTTGGGAAAAATGGGAAGCTGTAGCGAAACAACGAAACGGGGCGGGGTTAGTGGGGTTTCGACGGGGTTAATATAAAAAAGGCATGCAGATATATTAGTTTTTAAAGTAGGAAATGAAGAATGAAAGAGTTAATAAATCTGTGATCTAGTCTTAATGGATTATTTGGTAGCTAAGGTTAAGGAGTTCAAAGACTTACATTCAATATCGTGCAGCAACTGCACGGCGGTCAACAATTTAGCGCGATGTTCTTGATTTACAATACCCAAATAGTCCAAATCAGCTGGTTCTAGCTCTTTGAAGAGTTCAAGGTCTTCGTAGCTACAAAAATGAAATAATAAGAAAAAAGTGTTAAAGTACAAAAAACAGAAAACCATTGAATTATTTAAATATATACATCTAGTTTTTTGAGCATTTCAGCGTCTAACTTTCGGTCCTCAATACAAAATCAACTGCTTAACAACTTTATTTTCTTTCGTGTGTTCATTCGATTTTACGCCACTTACCCATTTAAAACGAAGACCGATGTATACTCCTTCAGTCCAATGCGAAAGAGTAAATCTTCAACAGAGCTCGGACCATTGCTGCTGGCATGCCGCATGCTGGCGCCGCCACTCATGCCCACGACGCCACCGACGCCGCCAATGCCCAAACCGCCGGCACAGAGGATTTTGCTATTCGAAGACTTCAAACGCTGTTCGGGCAACACTTCAACATTGATGAATTTAAAGTGTCCGATACGGCCGTGACAACGACCCTTCCAGATGCCAGAGGCATTCATTGACAGCACATCGATTATGTCACCTTTCTGTTGGGAGCAAAGAAGAGTGTGTAAGTAAAGAAGAGGTTACAAATAACTGCCATATAACACTAAAGACAAAAAGTTACAAAAACAGTAAAGATTTACATTTGCCGCATAGCGAAAGAGAGGCGTTTAAAATTTCGAAGTGCACTTGTTGGTTGTCTTTAAGAAGTGAACTCACTCGCACTTACATACTGACGTGTTAAAATACAAGTGCTGCGAAAAGCCTGGACATTTCATCAACACCGCGAATGGCAGTCAGTGAGAGGGCTTTACCAAATTCGGCAAAGACATTGAAAAGCCAAATAACAGATAATCTTTACCTGTGTTGAGTGCATTTGTAGGATTATTCTTATTCTCAACTCAAAAGTGTATCGAACGCCAACAAGTCGCAAACTGGGCAAAAAGTGTGAGAGTTGCTGCAGATTTCACTCACACTCACATTGCCGAAGCGCCGAGCGGCAGTAGCAGTCGAAACTTTTGCCCAACAGCTGCCTCGGCCGCCAATCATTGGCATCTGCGTCGCGTCGCGTCGTTTGCTAGTCTATTTGTATTTGAGCTGCTTACTTATGGTACTTACTTTAAACTTGAGTGCATCCTTATCATATGGATTCGGCATACTGTCGACAAGTGCTTTGGCTTTGCAAATTTGCACTAACGAAGCGCGATCCTCGGTGGAGATGGAGCTTTGCGGGCTGCCTGGTCGCACCAATGCTTGGGTACCTGTATTGGAAGTGTGAGTAGACGGTTAGATAATAGTTGAAAAAATATGAAATGTTAAATGGCAAAAGGGAACACTTTAGTTCAAGACAACTGCAAAGCGCCGCTATTGTAAGCCCTTAACCAATTTTAATGCCTTTTTGGTTTAGTGTAATACATACTTGGATGTTTAAAAAAAAAAAAAAATGAAAAGTTGGCATATATTTGAATTTTTGAACTCAATAAAATTGAAAAGAAGAGGAAGAATAACATATTGAAGAGATTTAAGGAAGTGCACCGTAGAGTATTTTTCAATAGGGTTGCCAGTTGTCTCCAAAAATCGAATTCAATAAAATGTACAAACTAAAGAAGTACTAATAAATTGAAGCGATTTAACAAAGTTTACCAACGTAAATATTTTTGAATTGTAGCAGCTTAAGTATTTTTAGAGTAATACATTTTTTTGAAAGCGCTTGTCAAGTGGTTTAAAAATGTAATATAAAAAAATTTATAAGTAAAATAAACGCTCTGGAAAAGATTTAGGAATGCTCACAGCAAAAGAATTTTAAATAGTGTTGCCAGACGGTTTAAATTGTAATACAATAAAATTGTTAATACATTTTTATGAGAAAATGTTTAAAAATAGTTGCAGATGAAAATATTATTTCACAAGTGTTGCCATAGGTTGAAAATGATTAATTTAATAATATTTTATGAGGAATGGTTTTTTAGCCAACGTTAGCAAAAAAAAAAAGCTTGAGGAAGTTTTCAGTTGAAAGCTGTTTTGTTTGAAATGGTTGCCATCTGTTTGAGACTGATCAATTGAATAAGTGAAAGGTGGTTAGATGTTTCTTAAGATTTCTTTATTTTGATTATTATTTTAGTTTCGGCGGTGTAAAATCTCAACCAGCACTGTTCGGAAGAAGTTGTAACTCGGATTGGGGTTAACAGCCCCGATTATCGCTGATTATTAATAATTTCAACATCTATTCCTTTCAGAGCAAGGAGAGCATGCAGAATGAGATTTTAGGTAATTGAGCGTCTAACTTGGCTCCACATGGCAAAATGCGAACTTTTAGCGATTTGAAAAATTTAACTTTTATTTGCTAATTAGAAGATGCTTAAATGCATGATTAATTATCAAATAAGCAAACATTTTCGAAGACCACTCCATACGAATTCTATTTAAAAACTTCCAGAGCAACTAATTTACTGCCAAAAATTTGTTTAATGAAAACTTTTCAAATTTCTAGCGTCTTTGTGAAACTTTAGGTTTTAACAATTTGAATTTGTAGCTTTGTTATTAAAACAGTTGATTAAGATTTCGTCCGTTCTGCTATGCCACAATAAATCGATAGTTTAGTAGAGTCGTAAAAGAGGAGAACTCCTTAATAATGCAATTGCTGCTCATATACTTTCTAACTGTACAGCAAAGAAAATCCGATTTGCAAGGCAATCGCTTTTGACGATTTGACGATAAACTTTTGCTAATTTTGCTTTGTAAAGATTTTTTAACGGTATTTTAGATTTTGCTTGCTTGCTATTGTTTCTCGGCTATAAGTTCGGGCTGCACGGCATTTTTGCCGCAACAGAAAAAGTCAAAGTTTTGTTCATTAAAATTGTTTAACGGCAATCAGAATTTGTTGAGCCTCAAGATGCGAACAAGAATCGCCGGCATACATACACACACACATACATATAAGTATATACGCATTTACATATGTATGAGGAGAGCTCTACACATACCGAAATGCAATGCTGGGTTGTTGTCGTCGACTGCATGGCCATTAAAATGCATGCGAACTTTAACGCTTTGACTCTGTTTACCGTTACGCAGCCTCAAGTCGTTACCGTTTTGTTTTGTTTGCTATTTTCATCGTATTTTTTGCAGTGTAAACTTTTCCACTTTCAACAGCACATTAAAAATTCATTAAGTTCGGAGAATTTCCACGTTTTTATTACGCTTGCCGAAAAACCACTTAAATAACAGCGTGTAAAACAAGCACCACCCAGTGTGTGGGCCGTGGCTGGGCCCGGCGAATAAAGAGCGAAACCAGCAGCAGCAGCTGGCAATTACAACCACTCCTGCTGCTTCCTCATCTTCTGAGAAATTTGTATGTAAAACAACTAAATAGTTAATAGACCAATATGCAACTGCACACCACATCCGCCCAAAGCAGCTGCCGAGCAACTCGGGTGCCACACGCTGCTTACAGCTGAGCGGCACGTAGATAAGTGGTTGCAGTTGCGGTTGCAGATTTGCGAAAAATTGAAAGTGAACAAAAACCATTTGTGGGTTGGCGCAGACTTTGATTAGCTCGCCAGCCGTGGGAATGAGCACGACTTCTAGACGCAAACAAACATACATACATACGGATAGAATAAGACATGTAGTATAATATAAACTTACTTGAACCGGAAGCGCTGGGTAAACTTTCCACCGAACTTGCCGAGCACGCAAAGGCCTGGTCGCTCATGCTGCCGCGGTCGGTATTATCTTGAGAATTGCTGAAATCCCTCGAAGTATCCTTTGTGGCTACAAAGTTCCTTCCGTTCTCATTAAATACGCCAATTTCCTTTGGTGAGTTTCGCATTTCGTTCGACTGCCCGGCGATGCAGCGAGTCATAGTTCATTTGTGGTTGTTGTTTGGTGGCGTTGTTTTTGTTTTTGTTGATTGCCGCGGTAGTGGTGTTGGTGTTGATGTTGATGGGGTTACAGCCAGTGCGGAGGTAGCGACGGTTGGTTGGTTCGTTGGTTTCGCAAATTATTGTGTTGCATATTTACAGGCGTTGCATGTTGATTTGGCAATGACAGAGTTGTCAAGAAAATTAAATAAAAATAACAACAATTTAAGAAAGCAGAAAGCACCAAAAAGAAGTGAAGACAGATAAAAACAAATATAAATAGAGATAACGAAATGTTTATTAAATAGAAATAATATGCGAAGAGCGCGCAATAAAAGCGAAATGAAAGTAAAATTGTTGCATTGTGCGTTTGTTAAGTAGCGGCGAGGCGTGTTGAATACATTCATATTGATTTCGGTTGTTTTCGTAGATATGAAATGGAAGAGAAGAAGTTGAAAGGCAGAAGTTACGTTAGTTAAATCATTAAAAAGTTTACTGCCACATCCACACAACAATAAATACAGCAACAATAAGGCACACACATCTACTACTTTTGCACATACCTTTAGTTATATATTTGTACAATATATATATTTACATATACAAATATACATAAGTATAGAAGTATATAAAGGGCAACCCTTCAAATATACAACAATTTTGTACAATACATTGTTCGCACATAGCTACATACATACATATATATATATATATGTTTGTATTTCGTATAGCACTTGTAGCTAGCTCAAATTAGTTCACTTCTGTTTCTCTTTTTCATGCACCCATACATACAGTCATTTCTTAACTAAAGGTTAACTAGCAAATTTATCCGTTGCTTTTTGTGTTAGAACCTTCTAACGGTCTAATGTGTAGTACGAATCTCATTAAGTTGGCTCTCATCGTGTATGCATAGTATACATATGTACGTATGCGAGTATGTATTTTAAGGTAGTACATACTGGCATTATAACTGATAAATTAATTTTCAATTTTTTTCTAACAAAACTTTTGATATTGAAGCAAGATAAGACCAATTTGGAAATTCCTCAAAAAAAAAAAAGACTTAGAAAATTTTGTTTAAACAACAAAACTTCTTTTAATTGTTGTGAACCGAGTCATCGATTGGTTTCGAACCTGATGAGAGCGTTGTTGTTGGAAGAAAAGCACTTTTTATATCTTAACCCTTTCAATACCGTACTATAAGCAGTAGGTTTAGAAAAAATTAATAAATTCTTTATGGGTAGATATTATGTCTAGTAAGACAAAAAAAAAAAAGATAAAAAAATAGTGTCCTTGAAAAGTAAGAAACGATTATTTACATCGTGTTAAATGGGACTAAATATCCCATTGTAGTAATTATTCTTAAATAAGAAAAAACATGTTTTAGTTTTAACTCTGTTTTTTATGTTATATTTATGAAATTTAATTTAGTTATATTTAGAATAAGCAGTAGCGAAATTTTTTGGAAGTACGGCACACAAACACATATATCTCACAAATTTTTTGATACTGTAATCTTTTATCGCAAATTCTGTTCTACACACTGTCAATTAGAAGAGTTTAAGGAAGATTAATCCAGACTAATATTTGAGCTATTATTTAGTAAAGGTTCCATATATGTAATGTCCTTCATTTCGATTCAGAAATATTTTTTATATTCTGCTAGAATAAGTAGATAACGAAAATCTTTAAAAAATTATTATCGTATTAAAGTTTAGTGGTAAGGAACGAAATTTTTTAATCGGAAATCTTTTTTTTTTTTATATGTATATGTATGTATGGAAAACCTCACTGTAAAGTAATCAATCCGAAATGCCTCCACATCTATCGTTTTGCCCGGTTTTGGACTCAACGACATTTTCGCTGACCTAACAGTTCTCAAGAAAAATCACCATTAAAGAAGAGTTGATCACAGACACCTATTTAGCGGAAGTTAGGAAGCATACTAGAAATATAGTTTCGAAAAGTCTGAACATATTTCGCTAATAGCACGCGCGTTGAGTTATGAAATCGAATTTTGACAATGCACCTTTTAGCATCTAAATTAAAAGGTAGAGACCAACGTGGGCGCAGCAAATTATATGTTATTTGAACCTGAAATATTTAATTGAAAGCTGTACTGTCTTTAGCTCTACAAAATAAAAGCCTTTGAATGAATTGTGGATGCATGTTTTGTATCAGAGTATAGGAATTATTTTTTAACCATTCTTTTCAGAAAAGACCCTGACATACTTAGCATATGTCCTGTCAGAGAAAAGAGAGAAAAAAGAGTAGCCGCCAAACTCGCTCAGCTAGGATACCTTTTTTCTTTATTACGACTCCCTCGAAACAGCCCGTTACCCGCAGCTATCCCATAAGTGATTTCGATGACAATTGAATTTGCACTTTCGTTGAATTTTCCGCAAACAGGGCTTAGATAATCGCTACAGCAACAACAAAAACAGTATATTCTTTGTAAAATATCTGGCAACCTTACAAATGAAGTGGAAAATGTAAAGCATTAATCTTGAGTTTTAGTATTGTTAATTAATTGCAACTAGCCTCAGAATGTGAAAAGGCAAAAAAATATTTCGCACTAACGGCAATGCCAATATGCGGAACTCAGGCTAATGATACAGAGCTGATTGAGTGCTTTTGAGCACAAACTGGCTTATTACCGAATACTACTTCCCAATGCGTTCAATTTGCACATACTACGTTGCCTACTCATATTAATATTAAGCAGAAGTTTTTTTTTGTTTTTTTTTTTTACAAAAATCAACAAATCGCTCGAGTTGCATGCGAATAACTGCATTGCGTTTGGTAATATTTTCGCAAAGTTGCAATTTACGAGTGGATTTGCAATGGCAAAGCAATTCGAAAAGACCAGCCCGAAAATCCGGGTCAGCTCTGGCAGCCACAAATACAGTTACGATTTCGAATTACAATCGAATGGGCACACAAACCTAAGCTAATTTAGTGCCGTTCGAATGCAGCAATGATGGCAAATAGCAGTTGAAAAGTTCCTCTAATGCGATTAATAAAGAAGTACACACACACATACGCACTCACAAACACACACTCTCATGCGCACACATTCTTATATGGCGCATAGGGTATGGCGGCAAGCGCAGCAAACTTGCCAACGATTTATGCAACTACGAAATCGGATTGCAAATGTAAACACAAAAATGCAAAGCCACAGCAACAAAAAAACAACAACAACAACACGAACACCATATAGAAGACTCTGACAAGCTGCAAACAAGTTGAATAACTGTAATGGGTGCATAAATCGGGCGGCAGTGTGTAGACATTTGACTGGCTGGGCGGCTGACACACTGCTGGGCCATTTGCTTAAGCTGCCCGCTTACGAATTTGTTGGTGCGGAGCGACCACACTCTCGCTGGGCGCTAGCCGCCGCTAGTTGCCAATCGGTTTCTACAATTTGTGTGCAAAAGTACGGTCTGTCACACATAGACACACACACACATACACGTGCCATGATTTAGCTACTAACAAAATGCACTCACACTCGCTATTTGCATTATTACCCGATTACTCGATTCCCATTTACACATTTCAACACATGATTTGCATTTGGAGAGCAAACTTTTTGATTTTCATGAGATTTACGACGGCAAATTGCAAATTTTCTGTTTGCTAAACACACCATACACACACCGCACTCACACAAACACGTGCGCACGCATGAAATTCACTTAGTTGCTGTTGCTGTTGCTGGCGACCATCAGTGGCCGTTCAGCTCTTCTAACGGTAATTAACTTACATGATGCACTGTGGCCTTCTGGCTGATGGTGTTGGCTTTGTGCGGCACGCCGTTCTTTTTACTCTTCGCCGCCAGACTGGGCGGTAGGCCGCGCGTTGCCGCAATATCCTCGTAATCGGATGATGGACTTGGCGAGAGCGATGGCGATTCGCCGATGCCGCCACTTAGCGTGCGATAGCGGGCGGTGCAGTTATTGGTGCCGATCTGCAAAGAAAAACACAGAAAAAAAATTTATAAATATAAAGCGAAATTGCAAGCAGTTGCAGGTCAGGTAGTGCAATCATTATTATTTATGTGGCTGAAGTTGGAAAGTACTTGGACTTTGGTTGGAAAATGGCAGCCAAATTTAGATTGGCCACAGATGATGTGTGAAGGGATGGGGTGCAATGATTAGTTGGCGAAACCCAGTAGTAAAGCTAACTGTACTAAAGGTGAGTGGAGTGTGTGCGAAAGGCAGCAAAATTCGTTTTAAATACAAATATAATTTTTTTTAAATTATACAGATATGGCAAGGCTACCGAACTTCGCTACAGTTATAACCGTTATTTGTACAATTTAGAACTAGTCTTTAGAAAATAGCAGCACAGATTTTACACCATACACTTACTCATTAAAGCGCATACACTGTCTATACCAGGGGTGCTACATGGCGTATGAGTGACTTCTAAATGGAAATAATTGCAAGTGTGTAAGTTGAATGATGATTGCCGTACAAAGCAATTGCCATAGAAAAATAAAAATAAAAATTATGTAAGTGTACATTTGAAGATAAACAAGTTTGCAGCGCAAAACTACGAACTTGCGTCACGTGAAAGCAATGCGAAATGTAGCGGTGACAGTTGGTGCTGCGGCAAAAATCACAACCACTTTGCAAAGTTGTTTTAAAGCTTTTCGTAAAAACAACAAGAATACAAAAACAAGCTATATTTAGTTAACATTTGGCGTTTTATTGCCTTACTTTTAGCATTAGAGAACTGTACGTGTTTCGCAGTCGACATGCTGCAACGTACACGCTTGCAAATTGAACGAATGGCTCACGAATAAATGGCAAAATTATTGCTGCATGCTGCGCGATGGTGCAACAGCGCAAAAGTTTGTTATTAAAGTGCACTTAATCAATTTAGCGGCAGCCAACAGCTGCCACGACGCTTTGGCGAGATATTGCTAGCCTATCGCTTGTTGACTGTCTTTTTGTTGCCGGCCGCGTCGAATGACAACTCAATGCTTTTGCTTTTGTTATTTGCGCAAATGGCGAAAATGCGCACACAGGTGGCTGGCTTAGTGGCCATTTGTTCAAGTTTGTGTTGATTTTAAGAATTTTATCGCGCTTGCTGCAGCTTGTCGTGGACATGTTTTGATTAACGGAAAACTAATTTCAAGTTTTTACCTATTTTGGTTTGTGTTTTTTATATAATGTTGTACTTGTATTTATTTATACTTACCGAAACTGCACTGAGACGTGAGGTGACACTTTGCAGATCCGATATCGAGCCCGCGTAGTCGCCGCTTTCGCGATCATGCGATCTGAAATAATGAAAATACACACATTTAATTTAATAATAATTACTTAGAAAGTGTTTGCAAGTGTATTCATTCTAATTTCAAATATTGTTTTTTTTTATTGTCTTTTTAGGTTTATTATATATAAATATATAGCATCTGTGGGTGGTTAAATTTTTTAGGGTGTTTTTAACCCTCGATTTCCAGCAAAACTGTGAGTCCTATGTCCTAATATCGTGTTCTCACCAAAAATTTTAAGTGTTTAGTTTACATTTCATCTATTTACTAATCTAGATTGTTCCAACTGCCGTTGGAGATTTGTAAAACAGCTGTTTTGACTAGCGAAACAGCATATTTCATGTAGCATATTTTCTCGCAACAACTCTATTAGATCGGCTTCGGCAGCCTCACTCCACATTCTTCTTCTTTTTTTTGATACTAGTTTTGCCATTTTCACTTATTTACTTGAAATTGCATTCATTTTTTTACTTTTTGTTTTATTTGTTTGTTTAATTTTTTTCACTTTGACAGTTTGCAGTGTGTAAATCAGATGTGATAATGTGATAAATTTCCCTACTGACAAGCAGATGGCGCTAAATCAAAGTCACACAGGGAGATTTCGACTAAATTAGTTTCAACTATCCTCGGTGACGAGATTAACAGGTGTAATGTTTGTTTGGTGAAATCTTGCTTAATCTAGTAAATTAGTCAGATAATCTACTCAACAGCCTAAATCTTTTAGTTTCTTTTTATCTTTTACAAAAAAAAAAAATAAAATAAATACTTCCACGAAATTTGTGGCAAACTAATCGTTTTATGTCCCAAGCACACTGTAAGTTTTTTTATTTAAAATATATATTTATTCATTTGATATAATATCAAAAAACCACCCTAATTTTCAATCGAAACTGAACTTTTAACTGAAAATTATTTTGTTTTCTGTGGATCTGAGACAAATTTGAATTGAATTGGTTCAAAATTATTAAAACCGGTTTAAAAGAAACCGATTGAGTTTGTATATATATAGTACAGCTTTTTGAAGTCGACGTTCGATATTGGCAACATGAATAGGCAATAAAATTACTCTCAGAAAATTAAAAGCTCAAGATAATATCGATCACGTATGGCACTTTGAAGAACGCCACAATTCTCAGGAAAGCTAAGCGGCATAAAACTTTCTAAAGGTGTCATCGATTCGCCATTTTACTGCTTCTCTCTTGTCAAAAAATTTACATTTATAAACAACAACAAAGATAGCGAGTTGAATTCGATACAAGAGAATTGGCGAATACCGTATTCAAATTCTGTAACCGTTTTCTTGAAAACTATTAAGTTTATTTTTATAAATTTTAGACACGTTTTACTATTGCCTCAAATAATCTGTATTTTGATTTTGCTCGTGTAGTTTGTACGACAGCTATATGCTATAGTGGTCCGATATCGGCGGTTGCACAAACGAGAATATTGTTGGGTAGAAAAGGAAGTGTACAAAGTTTCAGAGTGATATCTAGATAGCGTATATACAGGCAGAGGACAAACAGACAGACGAACATGACTAAATCGACTAAGCTCGTCACGCTAATCATTTATATATGGTATATGTAGGTAAGGGTCGCCTTTGTTTTCTTCTGGGTATTACAAACTTCGACCGTTGCGCTCGACTAAGATGATCTGTTAGCATAAGATTGCAACGCAAGTGTTGCCAGTCTATTTGAACAGCTCGTAATGTTTGTTCGATTCGCTACTCTCTAACTTGTGAACAATCGAAGACCGCTTGATTCTGATTCGAATGCTTCAATTGATGGAATATTCAAGCTATGAAATATTTAGATATATATATATATATAATATAATACTGCATGTACTTCGTACAAATTTGTCTTTTTATATACCAGATATGAAATATACAATCTCTTTAATATTTTTCCAAATCTAGATTAGCTATGCATACATTTTATATTGAACGTGTGCAGCAAGCACGTCAGATTTAACTTTTAATAGCTGTCATTTTGGTTCATCCGTAAGTTAATGTGGTAAACAGACCACAAACGAACCCATTTATAACCACTTAAGTACCGTTAAAGTGTAGACTGAGCAAGCTAAAGAATTTATACAAAGTTTTCCATAAACTTCAGCACCTTTCAATTGTGCACAGGGACCGTAGTGCCAAAGAACCTCCTGAGGTGAAGTAAAGAAGGATTAAAAAGGATGCGCACAACGCAATAAATATACAAACGAACCAATGCCAGATTATTATTGTGCTCGGTGTTATGAAGAAAAAATAGTTTTGTGCAGCAGCAGGCTTAAATTTCATTTTACTAACAAGAGCAAGAAGAGGAAGTAGCGGCTAGGGAGGAAAAGCTCTTGATTGTAAAGAATTGGAAACCGCTTGATAAAACCAATATACTCGGACATATCACATGACTGCACGACTGGAGCGGTGAGTGGCCGAAGGGGAGCGGCTCGAAATAGCAATAATAACCCAAATCAACTGTCGACAAAGCATTCGAAGTCATCAATTTCATATTGTTACGCACAAATACAAGCGCAAACAAATGCGCACACACGTTTGGACAGACGGGAAACGCACTGGGGCAAGCAAATGCATTTAGATAAGAGGCGCTGTAAATGAAGCACAAGCGTACGGACGAAGAAAGTCGAAACACAAACCGTTCGTAAAGTGTAAAACTAATGAGAAATCGAAATCGTATATTGGCACTTGGCGGCAGGGCAACGGGACGTACCAGCGGCCGAGTGTTCAAGTCGGAGTGAAAGTCAAGCTGATGAACAGCCATACCTCGACAACGGGCACAGCAACAACTATTGAAGACGTGAGTGCGAATTGCTCGTGATTTGCGATAACCCACAGACAATTCAAGACACGCAAACACAAGCTCAATCAAAGTTGTTCAAATGCCTCAGAGTGAGTACAGAGGTATCGATTCGACTGTTTGCCAGTGTATGTGTGTGTGTGTGTGTGTCTGTTGGTGTTGCTCGATAGAGTGTTATCCCTTTTAGTAGTTTTCCACACGTACGCATCCAAATAGACTGCTTGGCAGTTGAGACAGTAAGCACTGGCAGACACTTGGAAGATCCGAACAAAGCAATAGACGCTCACTCAGCCAAAGTTATAAACAAAACTGAGTGCGTATGTGGGTATTTGTGCATGTGTGCTGGGCAACACGAATCACTCGCCGTTATCAAAGTGTGACTTTGTTGGTCAAACCCAAGGAGAATACGAGTGCTTGTGTGCTTGCGACACCGAAGTAATCAAAAACTTTTCACGTTGCCACAGAGGCAATATTATTGGAATCGACTAAACAAATGGGTCTGCGATGCTATAATTTCAATGTTATGCGTTTTTCTGTATATTTTGTGGAGCTTGTGGTTGAAAAAAGATTTCATGCCACCTGTATGTGGCAAGGTGAAAGTTATTTTTGTTGTGTGTAAGTTAAATTGAACTTTAAATTAGACAAATTCAATATTGGCAAGTTTATTTGGTCTTAAACGGAAATTAAGGGTCTATATCAAACATAATTTGTACTTTTAGTACAACAAAGATATGTGAAAAGTATTTTTTTACTCATAAGAACATGCTTTCAGAAGTTCTTTTGAAGTATTTTCTAAAATAATTTATGGGTTTTCTAAATTTTGTTATAAAAAACAAAACAACAATGCAATCTCCGAAGCAGCTATTTAGATGCATCACTATAGAATATAGCTGCCATGAAACTGAACGATCGGAGTCAAGTTCTTGTAAGGAACATTTTGTGAAGTGTATTAAGTGTATCGGTGCAATCGAAGTTAACGATTTACTTGTATTTTTGTAATTTAAAATATTCATCTTTACAGATAGTATAATAGGTCATAAATATTGTTTAAAAAATATTTTAAATAATAATGTAGACAAAAATTTATATATATTTACAATTATTATTTTTTAATTTATTTTTTTTTAATTTTCGAGTTTTAATATTCCCTAACTTTATACTTGTTATTATTACTGTCGTTCATCAAAAATTTAAAATGAAGAATATTCCACAAAACAAAACAAAAAAAGGTAATTACAACCCAACCCTCAACAACACATTTCTCCCTAGTCGTTAAGCAAACTGCGTTGAATTTCGGTTAATTTCAAAAGTGTTATTGCCAATACGTGAAAGTAATGTGCGTTTCAGTTTATTTTCGATAAGTAAATTTGAAATTCTATTTTTCGCATTGCATGAAAAACGATATAAAGTTTGGCTTTACTAAAAAGGGCAAACACCAGCTACGAAACATAAGTAGAAGCAATAAAAAACACATCACATTCCATGTAAATGAAATCTACCATGTTTTGTTGTTGTTATTTGGGAGTACAATTGTAACAAAAATTTGTAACAAACACACCGCAATAAACGTAAAACTGGCAACCGAATTGTCGCAATAAAAATTGAGCCTTAGAAATTGGTGGCGCCTTGTATGTAACCCTTTTCGCTGTGGTAAATGTGGGAATAAGGGTGTCTCATATGCATGTGATTAGATACGTAGGTTGCCTTTTATATTTCGTGATTTGGCAACCCTAGTATTGCAATCTGGCAACTCATAACTTTATAGTCAAGTTTGACATTTTTGATGTTATACCTACTTAGAACGTTTTGAAAACAAACGCTATTTTTGTGATTTACAGTAACAAAAATATTTACAGTAATTAAAATATTCATCTCGGCCAAAAGATTTAATTAAGTCGGGAACAATTTAGCGCGATTATTTTTTACACTTTCAACTCAACAACAGTGCATCGATTAATTTAGTTCAGTTTTTAGCCATGAAGCTCCATCAAACACCAGTGTTAATTGGTGGTATGCGGATTCCAATTGAGGTCGTAGCGTGAGCTGATATTGCAAGATCGAAAACTCGCACTTATATATATATTGTATATACAATATAATGGAATTTTAATTTACTTGCCGAATCGGGTGGTATTATCAACTCGCATATTTATGTTTTATATAGGAAACCACAAAGGAGTCATCTGGCACAAATTGGCTTCTTGTCTGGTGTCATCGGCCCTATTACTAGTTATATGACTTATTAAACAGTGTCATGTTCTAAAAAATGTCATATGACGCCATCTGCCTTACTATGTTAAAGTTTCCAAATAGTAATAATTTTACCTCAATACTTTTAGAATTCTATTCACTGACGTCATTTTATAAAATTATAGAATAATTGTTTTTTTCTAAGTATAAGTTATGTGTACATCATTTTACCTTTTGTTTAGAGGCATATCCTTAGTTATCTAAAGTGAAGGTTTTCTGAAAGAACTGATTTTACTAACTTTTTAAGCTAAAATTTCAACTTTTTACCGCCGAAAAGCACAAAATCTTATTTTTAATTTATTTTGGAAATATGAAAAAGATAACGAATGTCCCTCTTTCAAATTTTTTTTAACATGTATTGAAGTCTGTAAGAAAATTTTTATCATTTTAATAGAAAATGGTCAAACGGCTCTCTTCGGCCGACGGTGATTCTAGGTATTAGTGTTATATAAAATAAAATTAAAAAAAAGAAGAAGAGTACACTTTAAGCTAAAAATCTTTGTCGCTAGAATCTCTGTAAAACCTCTTAAAAATAAACTGTGCTGCAAATATTTTGGAAAACAAATGACTTATATGAATTTTAAAACTTGCATATTTTTTTTTACAAATCAGGATACTATTGGGTTTGCAAAAAACTTCCAGAAAACGTCTATAATCTTACTAATTATTTTTGGAGATATTTAATTTTTTTTATTTTGCAAATATTGTGTGTGTTCACCAACTGTGCACTTTATTATACGCTTTACAAACAGCTCTACTACGAAAATTCTTGATCCCTTACAATAAAACATAAATATTCCGATTTGTGTGCACTGCGTTTGTAACATTTAAAATTGCCTATTTACGAGTAACTGTTTGATATGCCGTTAAATTGCTTAAAATATTTATTTGCCTGCAATAAATTCCCGATATTCGTTAACGTTACTTAACCGTCATCAATTGCTGCGCTCATTTTGCGTTGGTCTATGCTTGTGCTGTGTTTTATATAAAGTCTTAGTTGTTGTTGTTGTACTATCATATAAAAGGTGTGATTTAGTGGCGCCCAGCAACATTTGTAGGTGTACCATTGCACACCTTTTTTGTTGGCGCATATTTTGCTCAATTTACACCTTTTACTTTGCCTGCTGCTGACGGACACGAGCTGTTGGCTTTGTAGCTGCGCGCGCGTGTGTATGTTCGACCAGTAAGGATATGCGAATGCTTTGTATGTGTGCGTGTGCGTGTGCGCGCTTAGCTCCTGCAGCCATATTTATTATTAATGTGTTGACTAAAGCAGCAGAAACTGTTTCAGCAGCAGCTAACGCCATAATACAACAAAGAGAAGCTGTAAAACCAAAGAACATACTGCTAGCTAAGCGCATACATACAAACACCGGTGTTGGTGTGTGTGTTCGCCTACAAGAAAATACCCTTTTAAAAAGCTTTCGAGTGTGTATTTTTCGGTTTTATTCCAGCTTTTAAACGCTCGGTCAATGGGTTACGCTATGTGCCACTATATTTATATATGCATGTGTATATGTATAGGTGCAAAGGATGGTGTGCGTATAATCTTACCTGGCATGCGTTAACGGTATTATTGTCGGTGGATTTGGCGGCTGCTGTGGCACGATAAGCCCACGCCGGGGCGGTCCTCGCTGTGGCAGTGAAATATCTCCGGCGGATCTTAATGAAATTACACCAACACTCTCACGATTGGAGGTGAAACGTACCCGACCGCCCTGTGAATTAGAAATAACAACAAAAAGCGCTACATTATAGCAATGTTAAAATATTCGCAAAGAAAAATAAATTTACATGTGTGTGTGTATATGTATGTAGGTGTGCTCGGAACGGCGGTGCGCGCGGCCATAAATGTGGCTGCGGTCTGCTGGGAAAATGTTCGGAATTATGAAAAATTAACAAAGTTTAGAAAAGTTGGCAAAAAGCTTTGCCACTAAGCAATATAAGCCTTATTTGAATTTGTATTATAAAGCGTTATATGGCCAATGCGAAAATGTATGCTGCGCTGACGAAGGTGTGGATTGTGCACTTTCTATTGTGTTTTGGTATTAAAGTTGAAAATTCTGTTGAAACTGTTTGCTTGAGCAGAGCTTTTTCTCTGCCATAATAATCTTCAGTTGTGTTTTAATTTAACATAGGATCACTCTTTCGGTTTTGTTGTACGTATTTTTATGAGGGTGAGTATGCACAATGAATGTTGGAATATTTGCTTTGATTACAGTGTATACATTTTTTAGAGTGAATGAAATTTTAATCATATGGCCAATTTGGGAAGTAACGAAATGCAGCTCGAATGCTTTTGAGGCAATTGAAAAATTAATATAATATAATATTAAAGCTTCATAGTGAATAAACAACAGAAAAGTTTCCAAAGCCATTTGATGCTTTCTACAGAAAAAAAAAAAAAGAAATTTGTTAAGATAACATGAAACGCAATATTTAATGATTTGGGGCTAATAAATGCTATTTGCGACGATTGAGAATCCATTTTTTTTATAAAAAAAAATATAAGCCGTGACTGATGCGTCATTTTTCTGATCGCTATGTAAGAGTCTTGCTTTCTTGTAAAAAAAAGTTCACCAACACCATAGTTGGCGAGTTGCATTCGTTACAGGAGCGTGCGCTGATAACTCACTAAACTATTATAACCGCTTTCTTCAATGCTTCTAACATTCGCTTCACTCACTTTACTCACTTTAGACACATTCTACTATTGTGAATGGTTCATTATGTAAAATAAGTGTCAACAATTACAATGACAAATGTGCTATAAATGAAAATTATTTATTTATTGTTTTTAATAATCTAAAACTTATATTAAACTATAACTTTTAAAGAAAACGTAAGACACAACAATGGTCTGGCCAAGGCGGTAATAAAATTGAATTTGAAGAAAATTTTATTCAACAAAGAAAGAAAAGAAATGAGTTACGGTTGCACCCTAACTGAAATCAGGCTGCTTGAATGGCTGCAATAGCTTGCTTGATTCACAACTCTCTAACGCTTGGCGAATTGGAGACAACTGTAGAACATGATCGCAGCTTTCTAAGTGAACAATTAACGCGAACTATTATTACAATAACTAGAGTATAACTCAAATTAAACCACATTTACGAAAGTGTTTTATACTGAAATGATTGTGTCAGAAAACAGCTTCCTTATGTTTTATATACTTTCAAATAATTTTTACTGACTATACTCTAGTTACACTAGTCAAATTTATGCCCAAGTTGTCGCCGTAAAGATGAAATAACAGTTATAATAAATAAGAACTGAATTAAAGTCTATGGTCGGGAAACCAATCGCTTTGGTTCTAAACTCGTGACTCGTTGGTTGTAATTTGTATGAAAAGCCAATAATGATGATTCGGTTTGGTGAATAGTTAGTTAGACCACACCAAAGTCAAATACATTTTTTCAGTGATTCGGCTGATATTAGGTAGTCTAATATTTTATTTTCTAATTCTGTGAAACTCGTAAAAGCGAAATATGATATGTTGAAAATTATAAAAATGCACAGACGATAGGCCAGTAGTAAAACTGTTAAGGTTACTTAGCCTAAATTTCTTAGCAATTTTCATTTCTTGTAAGGTCGGAAATTTTATTTCAAAATTTTTTTTGAATCTTCGATTCCTCGCTTTATACGCTTTTTTGGCATATTTTAATTTTGAATTTAAAATTCCCATTTTGAAACCGATATGTTGTCTTCCCTTGAAGTTAACTGAAATAAGGTACTGAAAGACTAATAAATTTCAAAGAAAGGCATTGTATGCACTTTGGAAGTCAGCACCGAAGCTAATACAAAATGTTCCTTACAAGAACTTGATTCCGAACGTTCAGTTTGTATGGCAGCTATATGCTATAGTGATGTGATATCGGCGGTTCCAACAAATGAGCAGTTTCTTGGAAAGAAAAGAACGCGTGCAAAATTTGCAGATCGATACCTCGAAAACTGAGGGACTAGTTCGTCTATATACAAATCAATTCAGCTCGTCATGCTGATCATTTATGTACATATTTCATAGGGTCGACGACGTTTCCTACTGGGTGTTTTAAGCTTCGGGGCAGAGTTTATATAACCTGTTTAGGGTATGAAAACGAAAAAACCTCAAGCTGTAATCAATTTTGCGTTTCATTACAACCCTAACTTTAATTTGCTTTCTATTACATTAATACATACAATGTCTAAGCCACATACATATATGTATGAGTATTGATTATTCGAACCACTATCTTCCATCCACGCTCTCTCGCATAAATCATCACCGCACTACTCTATTTGCTGAGTGCTTGTCGTTTGCTTGATAATTTGATTATTCCTCAAAAAAAAATATATATATATAGAAGAAAATTTGCTCTTTTGTGGTTACGAAATTATGCCGCTCCCCTTGAAAGCGCGTACTTTTTACCATTTGTCAGCAAACTTATACATTCCTAATAAATTTATTACAATTTGCCTTAACGACAATTGCTCGAATACTCCGTTATTTGGTTATTTTATTTAACATTATGTTTGCGTCTTTTCGCAACCGATTCAAATGGAATCGAATGACATTTATTTGGGCCCACAAAAAACCGCAAATAATATTCGTTGTATTTTTTTATGCCTTGGCCGGCACTTAACCCCCCACCCACCCAGCGCACGTAAATGAATAAAGCCTGTTATGGATGTGTGTGTGTGTGTATACATACATAAACAATCTATGTGTGTGTGCCGTTCGATTTCGCAACTAACAAAATTTGACATCAAAGCAAACTGAATGGAAATTGAGGGATTTGATGCGGAGTCAAAAACCACTTGTGAAAAGCCACAAAGCTCATAAATCAAAGGGAAAACAAGTTCACAGTTTAATCTGCCGCTAACAGCAACAACAACAAGCATTATCGAATGGCAAATACAGTGGCATTTACAGTTATGTACAACTGCCACTATCGCTAGTGCCGCTGCCGTCATTGTTGTTGTTGTTGCTTGAGCATCCAAAGAAGAGACGCGAAGTGCGGTTTCCGATTACGCCGAAACCTAGGGCTCAGGCGCCGACGCCGACGCCTGGCAGACAAAAGTGTGGCGAAATCGAAGCTGACTACTTATTAAGATTATGGGAAGCGGAAATTGTAAAGGACAGCCAGCGTCTTCGCAGCGCTCCTAAGCACAAATCGTATTTGCCAAACGGGAAAAGGGCGAGCGGTGAGCAGCGTGCATACGACCGCTTGCGGTTGGCGGGTGGCGCATTTGGTTTGTAGCTCCACAAGAATTATGCATTTCCGCGATGTCAATAAACATAAAGTGAATTTCAATAAAAAATAGAAAGCAATAAAAGAAAGCAAACGAATGAAGCGAGAACACCAAATTGAAAAAAAGAACAGCTAAGAAAGTTTGCTTTGGGGAATCATAAATGCACAGACGTATGTATGCGTGGGTGTGTGTATGTGTGCCTGTGAACGCTCGCTGGCGAACCCGAAATCAAAGCAAAGAAAATATATTCAGCGTGTAATTTAATAAAGCGATTGCAAATAAAATCGAAGAAATGTGCGCTGCAGCCCGAGTACAGACACTCGGGCAGACAGACAAAAACAGCAAAAAAGTAATCCGAAAAAGGAAAGAATATAAGAAATCGGTTAGTTGGAAAATACAAATAATGAGTGGTGACGGGCAAAAAAGGCAGGGTTTGATAAAGGATGCTCGCACGCCAGAGTGAAGTCGGCAGTGAAGCGAGTCATGGCGCAGCTTCAATGAACTTGAACTAAAACCGCACGCAAGAGTGCGCCCGTGTGTGGGTCTGCCTTTTTCGTATGCCATGTTGAGGGCTATTGGAGCGGGAAGTAAATGTGCATAGCTATTTTGTGGTAAAATAGGGCTAAAAGATAGCTAACAGTGAGTTTATTTTGGGGATACAATTTTTTGGGTTAAAAATAATTTTAATCGGTTAGAAGAACCTTAAGTGAGCTCTACTTTTGAAATTAGTTATTAGAAAAATTAAAAAAAAAAAATGTCTTAGTTCTTATAATTTTTAATGTAGAAAATTCTTATTTAAGACATTTGAATAACAGATTTATAAATTTTCATTTTTATTTGGCAACTCTGGCTATAAAATATTTTTGTTTATTCAACGTTTGCGTATAAAATCGTTGTGCATTAAATCGGCAGGCGCATAAACGACTTCTAAGCTTAAATTCGAAAAATTATTTCAGTTATTTGCGAAATGCTCAAAAAAAGCGTCCAAGTGAGCAGCAGAAAACCAAATAAATAAAAAACCGCACACCAAAAAAGGTTGAAGCATGCCAAAAGCCGTAGCATAAAAAGTTAAAGCGGATATTGGTCCGTTCTTTACGCCGTAAAAAGGTAACCACTTATAGGTTGAAATGAATTTCCGTAGCCCTCGGTTGTGGTTGGCTGGCAGTGAATTGCGATGAATCAGATTACAGAGAGAAAACGACATTGCTGAATTTAAGAATGTGACGTTGTTTTTGGTATAGCTAGCAGCAATTGTGGTTAGCTAAAAGTTAGGATTTTTTCGCCTTAATTATTGGCAAGAATTATCAATGTCGAGATATAATAAATATTGAATAATGTATAAACAACCAAAATTTAAAGTTTATTTATAAAAAAAAAAAAATATTTGTGACATTATCTTATTTTTAATATACGGATCTCAACCTTAACCCCCTAGAAAACAGTTTTCAGTTCAGACTTCAAAGAAAAGTTGTTAATTTTCTAGTTTTTATGAAGTTTTACTAAGTTACTATTTGCCTTAGTGGGTTCTTTGACCCTTGTTTGAAACATATGAGGTTAGAAAAGTGTTATTTATTGTCTAAAATTTTTTATTTATTGTAAAATAACTTTAGTTTTCGTTTCTAGTTTTATCGTTTTCCAGCAAATACACTGTCTAGCTACATTAACAAGACCAATAGCTTTGATATAATTCATACAATGTCTTGTAGAAAGTTTATTTTGAGGCTTTATTCTTCACAAAAAGTTACAATTTCTTAACTTTCATTGGTAAAAATAAAAAATTTTAATAATTTTTTGTTTCTTTTTAGAAATGCCTTTGACTTGTTTTAAAATGTTAGTTATAATAACGGATAAAATAATTAATAAGATCTCTTGAATATTCTAGCGTTAAGGAAAAACGAAGTTAAGAGAGCAGATGCTCAAATATTGGGAATGAATAAAGAAACAGTCTATATACTTTTCTAGAAGTAAAAACTCTGAATAAGTGTATAAATATGTATGTTTTATGATATTATCCACTTAAATGCTAAAAAAATGGCTTCATTTGGTTTTGCTTGTCAAAATAATTACCTGTATTGTAGCGGCGGGTCCACAATTGATACCGGACATCAGGAAGTCATCTGGATCACTCTCATATGGCGGCTCATCATACCAGTGACCCTGATGATGTAAGCCGCTGACTGCGTAATGTGGCCCACGTAGAGCATCGTCATACATGTAGGTATCGTCTGCGAGGGAACAAAAAGACAAAAAACAATTATAAGTAAATATCTAAGATAATATAAATAATTAAATTTAAAATACACAAAATTAACACTCAAAATTAATGAAAATCGTGTTAGGCTTAAATTCTCTTGAAAAGATGAAAAAAATACACAAATTCCCTTAGCAAACACTTCGAATGCTTCGTGCAGGTATCCCGGTGCACAACACATGTGCTTTGCGCTGCTAAGTATGCAACGACTTTTGCATGCCGACACTTGTGCAACATTTCACGCGCAGTTACATGGAAAATGTTGCGCTGCTCAAGTGCACTGTGACTTCAAGTATACAAGTAAAAGAAAGCAACAAGCTTCAAGAAGTCGGACCGAAATAATGGCAAGAAGTGAGAAATCAAGTATGCTAAGCGACAGCCGAAAAGTGTCATTGCACTTTTGTTTACTCGACATTTCGCCAAGATGCAGCCGACCAGCACGCGTATGTGTCTGTCCGACTAGGTTTCGGTTGTATTGGTACGGGAACACGCTGCTTGGTTTCTAAAGTAGTGCGACAGCCAAAAGAGTTGAGCAGGTGCTCAAGATGTTTGTTTGTGTTGGCAATCTTGTTTTGAAAAGAAGAAATTGCTTTGCATGCATATGCGTGTATGTGTGGGTATGCAACTGTTTGCACGCCAAACGGAAACGGACGTATGCATTTTATGCTCACTTAGGCATAAGAGTCGCTCGCACAGAGCTGCTTGCTGTTGCAGGTTAACAAAGCCGTTGGGACGGAAAGTCAACTTTTTAGCAGCTGCAACACCGAAGCGTTACTAAATGCCGAAATATTTGGAGAAATGTTGTAGATTGTGTATTTTTAAATGCAAAGCTTTATGGAGAATAAACCAGCAAATAATATGGAAACAAGTTAAGCCAAAAATGTGCAAAATTTTAATGAAAATATTTAAATTTAGTTGTTATACATATATACATAGGTTGGTTTTTTTGTATAACACTCCTTTTTTGTTATTGTAAAAAACAGCTTATAAAATTGTTTAAATGAGCTAAGACTCAATACATCTACACCACTCTACCCTACAAGATTAATCAAAAATATAAAAATTGCATTTCGAAGAAATAAAAATTGTACACTTCAGAGCTTTTTTAGCTCTCTTTTATACTTACCTATTCGACCCTCACGACTCATTTGAAGCAAACCTTGCCGTATATCTCGTAAAATCTGGAAAATCAAGTGAAAATTGTAATAAGATAAAATTTTATATGTATGTATATATTTACATATGTGTAGTAAATAACTATATAAATTTCCAGTTTTTTTTCGAAAATATTACATATGTTTAAGTCTTGAACGTTTTGAAGCCAAAAAAGCTCCAAAAGCATTTCTAGCTAAGACTTAAACCACAAATGAGTCATCGATAAGACAACTTAAGTATGATTTTGTATCTACTATTTATGTACTCTCTAGAAATTTGACAAGAGAATTTTTTATTTTTACTAAATTCACTTACTATGGAATTTTACGATACGAAATGCTTCGAGTATGCTTATGCTAAATATTTAAGTTTTTCTAAAATGGTCAATGGTCTCACAAATGCACTGAAAATGCTCAGACAAGAATTCAACAATTCAAAAAATTTTGAATAGAAATTAAAAAAAAATTTACGTTTTGCTAAACAATGTCACATAATCAAAAGACGCCATACTATTTAAGTAAGTGGCAAACTCATTGCAAATATGTGTTTATTAATGAAAATATTTATTTTTATACATATAGCAATAATGTGTTGTATACAAATTTCATATATGTTGACAACAACTTCTTTACAACAACTTCCACTGCGAACTAACAAATTTTAATGAACGAAACTGGCCAACATTATGCGCTGCACCCAGCGTGTCCCATGCTGGTGGATTAGATATATACATACGTGACTGTTGTTAGCAAACAGTTGAGCGTGAACGGCATAAAAAAACAACGACAACCATATTACAGTGTTGAGCTCGCCTTATTAGGGCACAGAAGAACGCAGCTGACTCTATACAACTGCTGTATTTGCAAACTAATGGTAAGACGGAAGGAAGGATTTTCAAAGTGGAAGGTAAAAGTTCGCAATTGTTGCAGTTGCAAGTCTTGAGTGGATTTTTATTGAAGTCACATTCACGCTGGCCAACAGCGCAATGGAAGTGACTTTGCTGCTTCAACAGTTGTGTCGCATTACAGGTTACCGATATATTCCTCTTGGAACATACATAAACACAAAACTCACGTGTGTGTGTGTAAGTATGAGCGTGCAGTTACGTGTACTGTTGCTTATTTATTTTATATGTAAGCATACAAATTGCAGGAGCTCAGCGGGAGTAAATAGTTAGTGCTGTTGGGTGGCCTTCAAATATATAAAAAATTACAAAGTTCCATTAGGAAGAGTTTATTTTACAATTTTATGTGCAATTTCTGTATTTCTGAAAGCATTGGCTGGCAAATGTGTGCTGAATTCTAATTCAAGTTGGCGTTTCACTTACACACTGATCTTAGTATTGAATTGTTAAGGTTTTTAGAAATTTAAAGGTTTTAGCCGTTAAGGTTGGGCTTTACAGTAATCTAGTTTTTGAAGTTTTCAGCCTTAGGAAAATCGATGTAATATTTTTGAAACAATAAAGACAGTGAGGGGCTGAGCTCATCAAAAATCCGTTAATGTCAATGCAGATCTCGCTGTATTTGATTGATTTTATTAGTCTCAGTTAGTAATGAAACTGTTTTATCCGGAACCGATTGTTCTATTGTATTACTGCAAGGCATAATCACAAAAATCGCTGTTCAATAAAAGTAACTGTCGTGCTTATCTCTCTCAGCAGTACTTTTGTGAATGCCATATAAATATACATGATTTTCAAAAGACATTTTTTTTAGGTTAAAAGTAAACAATTTTGTCTTCAATATTTTACGAAAAATTTTCAATCTGCACACAAATATTTTAATTTTCACCATAGAAGATCGTAAGAAGTTGGAGACCAATTCGTCTCTTATAATAACAATAGCAGGTTGAAGAACGGTTCACAAGTAATGATTGCTTAAAACTGTTTATGCAGTAGAAAAAGACAATCCAAGCAGTACCTCATGAGTATGTTTTTGAATTAATTTAGTATAGAGACTGTGAAGAAGAGGCCTTTTGATATCCGTGTTTTGTGCCTAGGCGACTAGGAACGGTAAACAAAAACGTTGTTTGGGTTGTAAAGAGTAGTATAAATGCTGCGGACACTATGAATATGGACTTAGGTGACCATATTTGTCCCGACAACATCCGGGACGGTATTTTTTATACCTTTCACAGTTGCATTTCTTATAGCATAAAAGGGTATAAACAGATCTTTAGCTTGATTTTGATCGTGTGATTTATGCTATAGTGCTAAATGCTTATGCTTATGCTAAATTTCGTGAAGTCATCCTGTCAAATTAAAAAATTTTCATTTTCATCAGTTTGTATTGCAGCTATATCTTATAATAGTTTGATATCGGTTGTTCCGACAGCTGAGCAGTTTATTGGGGAGAAGAGGACTTGTGAAAAATTTCAGATCGATATTTCAAAAACTGAGGTACTAGTTCGCATATATAGTATAGAACAGACGGGCATAACTCACGCTCCCTCTAATCATTTATAGGTATACTTTGATGGTCTTCGATGTTTCTCTATGGATGTTACAAACTTCATGGCAAATTTAGTATACAATTTGGCGGGTTCTAATTACAGACTACGGCACTAGAATACGCTGAAGAATCAGAAGGGATATGATACCAATTAGAACTTCACTGTTGGTATATTCCTAAACTTTTATACTTTAAATGACAGTTGAAAAACCACTGTTTCGAAAAAAGGATTCTACACATTACATAACCTCACATTACAGATACAAAACCAAATTATTGAAGAATATCTATGAGAATAATTAACTTTAGTTTCGAATAATAGAATTCTTACATGCTTATTTCTAACAGTAATTAAATAGAGAGAAGATTTTATCACCAAAGCGATGGCTCACAGAGAGTTTCAGCGTGTCTTAAAGCGGCATGAGTATGCGGGCAATCACCTTTTCATACATAATTACTGCACAAACAATGCCTACAAACAACATACCTGTGCATGCTTGCCACACTGCGCGCATCGCCCACTTGAGCGAGTGGAGAACAAGAAGAGTCGAGTAAATTGCAGTCATTTGTTGGAAAATGAATATTGTATGCGCCGCCAGCTCTGCCATTGCTCGCTGCCAAATAAATGACTGAGCGACTGTCCATTGCCGCACAAGCACTCTCAGTATGAGCAGAGCGAAGGGAGTAAGATGGCATTGTCTACATGGCAGTTTGTAGGCGTTTGAAGTGTTCACAACACGAGCACACACACACATACACATACACCAATGCATGTCTGTTGGCAGCAATAATAGAGATGCTTGGCGCAAAGTGTTTCGGGGTAGGGGGGAGAGATTTTAATGTGAGACTGCTAAGTCATGCGACAACAACAAACACAAAAAGTAGGAGATAAAAAGAAAAACAAAAACAACAATGGCAGGGTATAAAGTGCTCCAGCAGCACACAAATAACTGTCAATACACACAGAGATATGTGAAGACAAATGAACATTTAGTATGTAAACATGTGTGTGTGTGTGAGCTTTTGCATTAAAAGTTCCAGCAGCCACTGCAACAGGAGTACAAGGGGCAAAAGGCAGCCGAAAGGAATGGCCACAACATGACAAGGAAGCCAGGGAAGCCAAGAAAAAGGAGCAATTACAATAACTCATAGAATATGCATGTGCAGCCACAGTAACGGCAGTAGTTGTTGTTGCCTCATATGTACTTTAACTTGCCTCACTTTGATTATTTTGTTACAGTTTTTCTAATTTATTTTTGCTGCTTTATTTTTGCAACAGCAACAAACAACAGCAAGCGCAAGACAGTAATTGCAGCATTCTAGCGACGTGCTCTTCGAGAGCAACTTAGAACGAACTACAGCTGCATAACTATTTCTGGCACAGCCCTTATGTGGCAATTGTTTTCATGTGCGTGTGTGCGCTTGCTTCCAGTAGTTCCTACGAATACTCGCTTCTTGGCATAACTTCAGGCGCACAGTGGTTTATAAATCTTTGTTTGGTTTAATTTCTCTTACATGTCTAAAAAGTTTCGCTTACATTAGATTTAATCTAGCTAACACTTTCGTTGCCCGACCAACAATGCTAGGATCTACGTGTGCAATCTATCACAGCTCTCCACTATCACACGCCACTGTGGTTTTTGCACGCATACAGTGCTGAGTGTGCGTCCGTGGTGGTGTGGTGGTACATAAACAATGGATTTTATTGCTGCCTGCCGAGTAATCGTGTGAATAGGCCGCACAGAATATGGATTAAAATTAAACAGAGTAGGTAAGCTGGTGGAAGGACATCGAAAAACACGTACTGGCAAGGAATTGAGCGGCACTGAGAGGGCGAAAATGTATTTTTTTTTCCATAATGGAAAATTTTTACAATTTAGTTTTTTATTGTGTAAACCTTCTTTCACTTATTCTATACGTTCTACGTTTTACTGCACTAACATCTAATATTTGCCAAGTAATGTAAGCGGTTAATTAAGAAAAGTTAAGTTACAATTTTCCTAGATGGCACCCAGCAAAGCAGTTGGCACACACTTGAACTTCCTACTTCAAATAACTGCACACAGTGGCTTACTTTTCTAAACCAATTTTGTATTTATTATTTGTAATGTTCATACGAGTAGTCTTTCGGCCTTTTGTTTATGTTTGGTAGTTGTTGTTGTTGTGTGTGTGTGTCCTGCGGTTGACCACTACAACATGGCATAAAACAGCGAGAGAGCGAAGTTTGCGAGTTTGTAATTTATTTGCGTGCAAAGAAAGTGAAAATGTGTCATTTGTCTTTTGGTCTAGTAAATTAGACCAAATTATTTATGTCTAAGCAACCAAGAGTGGTTTATGCTTGGTATATTATATCAAGAGAGGTAGTGCAAGTATGTGTGCCGTAGTGGTAGTATCTCGAAAATTACGCATGCACTTGATTACGTTAAGCAACTACAAATCTATTCCAAACTTAATTCAGAGTAAAATTAAGGAAATATACTCAAGCAAAATTTTAATAAGAATTAATGAGATAATCTGTTTGCTAGTCACTTGCTTTATAAACGTGCTGTTGCGTGAATATCCCTCTAAAAGCCATAGGAATTATTATATATTTAATTCTTAAACTGCGCTCAATAAGGAAAGCAAGCTTTTGGTGGTGATTTATACTTCCACCTGATAGGTCCTTATTTTCTTTTGATCTTAATTTTATGGATTAAAACATTATTAACACTAGAACTACGACGATTTACCATATACCTATTCCATATACTATTTCAAATAGGCGTCTCTCTCTCTCTGAAAATTAGAAACGTAAGAACGAAATAATTTATAATATTATTCTATACATAAATTAAATTAAATGCATGACATCGTAAAATATTAAATAGAAATAAAGAGGAAATGGTATTTTTATGGAAATTATCGAAATAGTCATTTTGACCAGTTCGTAGTTCTGGAGTTAAATGGAATTATACATATATATATATGTAGGTATATATATTTTTTTTGCTATATAGAATTTTTGAGTAAAAAATCGAATTATTGGTAGTCAACGCCGTTTAATAAATTGATGATGATGGATAAAATTTGCATTTACTTTGATGTAATGCGAAATTTGCTTAAATTTTGACCGAATGTAACTGCTAAAATCATATTAGATTAAGGTACGCTTAATGGAACAGTCTAAAAAAAGGGTGTTTTGGGAATTAAAACAAAAACATTTACTGTATCAATTACTACAAAATTTTATGGATACATTTAGAATTATTTTAAGAATACTTAAAAACTATTTTTTTTGGAAAAAATTCTATATTTTATATATTTGCGATTTTCACAACGCTAAAAAAATAGTCTTCCACTGCTGTAGTGATTCTGGCATTTTCTCTACAAGAAGATATTGTCCATAAAATGATCTATAGTCGAGAATAATTAAAAATTGACAGAATAAGTACATTTTAAAATAAATAATTGAGTTTAACCCAAAATTTTGGTCGTTTTCGGCCTGACAAAATCTTTGATTAAATCGAAAAAATTAATATGTGGAAAAAACTTGATAGTAAGCGGGTCTCATTTATACCCTAGTAATAAGTGAGGCAAACTCGAAAAATTTTGTTTTGTGAAACGCGCATTTAAAGATAAACCGAAAAAGCTGATTGAACTGAGTTTTTTATGAATTTCTAACTAAGAAAAATATTTGAAATATTCATTTAATTGATACAAAAATCTAAATACTACTAAAAAAGCTTATTATATATTTTTTGGTATTGTTGGCTTATTTTGGTGTTTCAAAAAACAGTTGCTTGTGCTTTTTCTTTAAATATGTAAACCATACTATCTGATGTTTGACTGGATCAAATCGTTAGATACAGAAGGATATCAAAAACATTTTAAAATAATTTACAATGAATGCCAGCCACTAAAGCAGTTTATGTCGACCATTTGCTGATGATCTGATGATTGATGATATGATTTTTCTTAGTAGAGCATTCTTCTTTTGTGATAACCCAGAAACTTTTAAATCGCCCCTTTTTTATGTTAACGATAATATAGTGAAAATGTTCCCTAAATTATTTATATAAATCTTTAAATCTTAGTTATTAAAATATGTGAATTTAGCCAAAAATAATTTATTTAATGTAATGTTTAATGCAGTCATACCTCTTCGTGTTCGCGTTGGAATTTCTCCTTTTTGCGCATTGCTTCTTGTACTTTCAGCTGAAAATGGAAAACATATACGAAATATTTTAAAATTCCAGCATATTAATGGCACTCGAAAGCGAAAGTAGCACTTTGATGATGCAAAATTGAGCTAAATATATACTTAATGCTAAAAGAAGGCTTTCACAAAACCAAAATTTTTATTTGGCAGTCAGAAGTTCGCTTTTTGTAACGCAACAGCATGCAAATAAAGTAAATAAATTTATGTGCATACTTATGAAAGCAACTAAAGCGCACCTACGTGGGTAATAAGTAAAATAAAAATAACGAAACCAAAACACAAAAAGAAAAAAAATTAAAACTTTGCATCGCAACGACACGGCGTATGCGAAACACTTGTCAACCGGCAGCTAGGCACCGCGCGCACTCATACGCCCTGTAGGCATAGACGATGTGAGGAGTATGACGACGTCGTTTGTGCGGAGAGCACACTGTAAATATTCCGCTTTTTGTGTATGCACTTGCTGAAAGTTTGAACAAACACTTACAAAGCGGCGGCGGCATTGGTGGCGTCGAAGGCAGCATCTGCAACACGGTTACCTTAAATGCCATTATTGGCGGCATGGTGTGCCGGAATGAAGGCGCTGCCGAAAATGTGCATAAGTAGCGCAATTGTGCGCATGAATTGACAAAATAAAGCAACAACAAGCAGTATGCAACACAACAACACAACGGCAGCCAGTGCGCACAGCGACGACAGCTGGCAATAATAAGCACTACAAGCTTAGGCGTCGAGTGGTATAGGCTACAGATAAGAAGTAGCATAGTAACAGGCGAGTGATAACAATACAACAACAGCAAAAGAACCACTAAGCATATTTAAAAATTGCACAGAAATTATAGCGTTGCAACGAAAAAGGTCGTGTGTTCGAGTAAACCCCGCAGTTGCTGTAGACGGTGAATGCTCTTGCATGTGTGGGGTGTGACTGTGACAACAACAACAACAAGTTCTGCAAGTCAAACTTTGTTACGAGTTTGTTGCTGAGCACAGAAAAAGTCTAATTTATGCCGCAAGTTCAGGCATATTTTCGGTTAGCATACACGATTCAACAAGAACAACAACAATATGCAAATCCCCAACGGAACGCAGTGTGCTTTTTTTTATTTCTTGTTTTTTTTTTTTTTTTGTGTTTTTGTTTTCGTGCAGCAAGTTATGGCAGTGTCTGAGGAGAATATGCATAATAAATGCAATGACAGTAACAACAAAAAAACACTAGAGAAACGGTAACAACGTGTAACGACAATACCCGCCACACCGTAGCTGGCGCACCTGCCCAGCAGCGCCGTTATGCCACCGCACTTTCTTATGCTCACATCTTCATTGCATGGCATCTGTCTGGCTGGTGGTGGTGCAACGCGAACGTCTGTATGTGTGCGCGCTCTATTGGGCTTGTCTCTCCTCCTCCCTTCGCCGCCTGTGTGTTGGTACTTTTATTTCTCGCTTGTTACCGTTGTTGCACAGCGCACTGGAGCTGTGTTCTCGGTCGTGTTGTACACTCAGGCTGTGACATTTTTGTTGTTGTTGCTGTTGTCATTAATAATGAATGTCGACGGCAATGAACTTTTAAATAGTGCATACAATTCGCTGTTGCTGGCTACACCCTCTGCGCTGTGCGACAATGTCATTACGCCACTGACACTCAGGTGAGTTGTTATTGTTTTTGTGATATTAGTTGCTTTTATTTTTATTAGATTGCAGCTTGGATGCCACAATGATATAAACTTGCACCTCACATGCTAGAAAAATGTTGAGATTATGGGAATAGAATATAATTTAAACACGATTTTATTTGCTAATCCGGCTTTCATAGCAAACAGACTTGTAAAAAACATTTTATTTTTATTTCAATTAAATAGAAATAGGGTTAAAGAAGATTTCACAGCAATGTCCTGTTGAAAGAGTGTATTGAATTCCCAGCGGATTCACAGTTTCCCTGCCATCTGATGGATTTTCGTATATTGAATGGGCGGTCGCTCTTACTTCGTTGCTAAATGTAAAACCTAAGAGGTTACTCATACGCGCTGTTGAATGAAATCTGTGTATTTTCTAAAATCGAAGCAAAAACATTTAATTTTCAGAGTAGTGAACGCTTGCACAAAAGCCAACGTTAAAAGGGTGCATATCTAATTCAGTTCAATAATACCAAATTTCTGACTTCCCAGGCAAATTTATTGCATTGAAGGCTTTGCATACTAATGAGCTGCATGAAAAGTGTTTGCAAACGCTTTAAAGGGACTCCAATTGTATGGTATATCTATACACATATACATAGTGCAAATACTGGAGAGGCTGCAAAAATTTTGCGCTAAAACATGAAAATACAAATTAACAGAGTTATTTACTGGATTGGTTACCCGCCACGCCCATGTTTTGTAGCAAATATTCGTGTGCATTTGAGAGACACAAGTTCTAGAGGCATTAAAAAAGCTTCGAGAAATCTGGGAATATAAAAAGTTTGAACTAAAGAAGCTGACTGCGATCATCAATTTATAAAATAATCAAATATATTGTGCTCAAGCAACAAATTACTGCAGGTGATAAGGTTAAGCCAAAAACAGTTATATATATATGTGCGTATACGAAATATTTTCTTTAGCAAATTTTGAATTGTGTGTTTGACAGAAAAAACTATAGCATATAGCACCAAAAAATTTTGTGCGAACTTCTGATTGCCTATTGTTATTTTTAAACTATATACAGAGTTATTGTAATAAAAATTAAGGTTTTATGAAAATGTAAATACTATATTGACAACGTATAAAATTTTAAACTTACCCTGTGGATTGTCTCTTCAAAACTTTGGTGATGTCCTCCATTCATTGTTTGAAAATGTCTTAGTCGTTCATTCGCCGCCTAAAAATTTTCGAATTAAATATTTATTAATTATTTTTAATGCTTCTGGGCACGCAACATATACATGTAGGTAATATAGATAAACTGAAGCATAAAACAATATTTTTAATATTATTGGCGCTTGATTTATGAAGAAGTATAAATACTGATCTCTATAACTTCAACATTACTTTGCCCGTAGTCAAAAATCAACTCTATTGCTGTGAACTATGTTACTAGCAATTGATTTACGTAAATTTGAATTTTGGCAACGCTGAGCTCTTAGTTATCTTATCTTATTCTTATCGTTAGTTAAACAAAGTTGTATGATTAGGTGATTTTAGTCAGTTAGTTACAGCCTCTGATCTTAATACTCTATCATTTTATGCATTAAAGTTATACCAGCTGCTGAGTAGAGTCTTTTAGCCAGTTCAAAAAATTTCAGAAAAACATTTTTACGCAAATCGGGCATTATTAGTAATCTCTTTCTTCGTAGAAAAATTAAATAAAACTTTAACGTCACTTTTCATTTATGCCAGAAGGACCTAATTTGTTTAACTTTTCTGGTCAACTCACATTGAATTTTCCGCGTCACTTTGAAAATGCTTCCAGATTTCTCTAGAGTTACTCTAGATCTCTTGTGAAAATTATATGATTTTTCTTAAAAAACTTATTCTGTGGTAAATGAGAAACGTTGAATCTTAGCTTGTTTTAGAAGGCCCATCTTTTTTGGAAATTTAATGTATTTGAAAAGCTTTTAGGACACATCTTCGCTCATCACACTTAGATTACCAACATCAGATCACTTAAAGGACACACCCAGTGTAACTGCACGAAGAAATACGTTTCTTGAAAACTTTCTTAAAAAAAAATTAAAATTTAACAAAGTGGCAGAATTTGATAAAAACAAATGTCGAATTTTGTTAATTCTTTCTGCAATTGAAAAACTGATAGTGCAGAGAAACAGATAAGCGGAAAAAAATCAAAACGATCGGAGGATTTGTCTTCGATCTACAACTGCAGCCAAATTGAATAAATATTCATTTTGTGTATGTTATTTTCAAATATATAGAATATCAAAATATGAACTAAATAAAATTTATATTTTTTGGTTTTAGAAATTTCTAACTACATCTGGCGTTCCTCTAATTTAAAGCAAATTTAAAACACCATCACTCGACATTGCATTAGCATAGCAATGTTGCTTTTTGAATCTTTTGAACACGCAATGTCTCTCATAAGATTTGTCCTGTTATTATCTCATTCCGCCATTTCGTTTATTTTGGTTAATTATTAATTTAGCTTTGTCTAAAAACAAAAACATTTTGAACTTGCAAATAATTTACTCGCAATGTGTCCGCTGTGGCCAATTCAAAACAAACAGATTTTAATAAATCGGTGAGACAAACGTTGGGACTTGATAACAGCGTTGCAGCTGAACCTTTCGGACTAACAATTATATCATATAATTAAACGTAGACAAGGGTCTGCGCACAAAAGAAATGCTTATCGTAAAATTTTAGATCGCTGTAATTTTTCCTCATAATCTTGTGCGCTTCATTCATCGCCTGTTCAAAGCGTTACTCTTCATTTTTTAATTAGATATTTTAAAGGGAAACCGAATTGCACGAACCCGCAGCGGCTGGTGTTGGCAGCCTAATCGCACTTTGCCGCTGCTGAATTTACGGCTTCCGCGTTTTGCGGTGATCAACCACCTGAGCTGCATTATCCCCTTTTTGTGTTGGCAGCTTTTCAATAGCGTTTTTTGCGGACGTAGGTGTCATACCTTACACACACACACACATAAGCAAACAATATTTATCTTCAGATGCGTGTTTTCTATCCTTTCGCGTTATTTATGACTTCGTTTGGTGAGAGTGTATGTGGATAGAGAAGAAGGGGTGTGGAGCGCTTGTTTGCACGCTGTGCGCTATCTCGGCGGCCAATGCCATCGTCAAGTCAGCGCCACTGCAACCGTTTCATTGCCAAGAAACTTCGCAGTTCTTTCTTCTAGCCCGGCATATTTACGTCGCCTTCTTGCGCCTTTTATGTTTCCCTTGGCAAATGTTGGTTTAATCAAAGAAAGAAAACGTCTTCAATGAATCCTTTTGGAATAGCAGATAAACGAGGGCAGGGAGCGGCGTCGGCGGCGCGTTTAACCTTTACATTGTAAACATTTTCGGCAGCGCGGAGGACGGTCGGACATTGGCGCGGTGTGTTAGACGGCAGACGTTTCGATGTTACGCAACATACATAGGCGCATACCAACACCTGTACACATGTGTGTGTGTGTGTGTTTGTTGAGCAAAAATTTGCATGTCCCTAGGGTGTAGATTAAATATGACAACAAAAGAATAAGCGCGAAGCACAGTGGAATACTGGCATGTGGCGTTCGGTTTCAGCGGCAATATAAACACGGCAATAACAGCAAAAACAAAGTGCGGACATGAACCCCTAAAAGCTAAGAAAATGTAAACAGAAATTTGCAAACAAGCATTTAAAAAGCAAACTCCAGAAAAATTTGATTGGAGGTAGCCGTGGCGCATTTGTCTCCTTAAGATGGCAAATGAAAAAAAAGAGCTCATGAAAAATTTAGCGAAGCATTTTGTTGCAGCAATAAACGCGCTCTTGCTCAACTCACATGCAAATAAAAACTGCTTGCTTTTTATAGCTAAATATTCGTGTTTATGCACATATATTATTGATGTGGCATAGTGTGTCTTCGGTGGCATAAAACATTTTCAACACGAAGCAGCGACAGAACAGGATATTTGATGGAAAATTATATGGTTTCCATTTAAAGATGGCGCAAACGCTTGTTTTACTGCCACGGCGCAATTTGCAAATATCATGCAAGAAAATACTAAAATTTGGCTCGGCTAGTTCTACTTTGCTCCTAAAAGTTTTACGAATGCTTCTAAATTTTGAAAACGATAATGCAACACTATTGCTTGTTGGGACAAGAGTGCACAAAAAACTCGCTAAGTCTCTGCGAAGCTTTAGAAGTGAGTATTCTGTGATAGCGATTGAAAAACGAAGACTTCTAAGAATGAGGGAGGCATAGACAAATACTTGCTTTTCTCGGCTCGCAGCACGAATAGCGAAAATATTGGCTAAATATCAAGTAAAGGTTGGTTTTGGTAGCATTTTATTATTGCTATTAGACCCAGCTGGTTAGTGCTAGCTCCATGTCATATGTAAATTTTCTAATATTTGTGAATATTATAACACTTATGATTACTTACCCTCACTTGTGCGGCGGTTTGTTGATTACTTCGGTCTCGTCGATTTACAGTTTTTAGACCCTTTAGAAGTCTCGCTAAGGTGGTACGTTTCTTGGTCTCACGACCTTCTGAAAAAGAGTAAATAAAAATACACAAAACCTTTAGTTAGCTGAAGGCAGTCAGTACGAGAATATTATTTGTTTAGCTTCAACCATATTACATTTTTATATTTAAATATACTTAAACCAATATTAAAGTTAAATGCTGGGAACTCGAAGTCTTTACAAGGGATCGTGTTTTATTTTAACAGCTAATCGCTGTCTAATTAAATGTAATCACAATACAGTTATTTCAAAAAGGAAAACTTTTACCTAGAAATCGTGTGTTGTAACTTGCTTGCCGCTGTTCGGTGATTATGCAGAACACTTTACTTTGGTTGGATAGATTTTGATATGACCTGGTTGATATGTAAAGCATGAAATTACTAATTTCCTCGAGCAAACAAATCTGTGAAATAAAACCGTGGCTACAAATGAGCTTGAAAGCACGATGATTTGTAAAACGTTCTACAGGATTGTGTTCTGCGTGTTCTAAGGTTTTAGATATCCAGTGTTGGCACAAATATTTTAATACTGTAAACGTACCATAGGTACCGTAGGTTAACTTTCGTTGTATTTTTTGTGCAAGCTTTTTGCAAGCATTTATTTAGATACCATATAGCGTAGAATGGACACATTAACCACCTTGGTCGGAATCGAGGTCAACCTTAAGCCTCTCTTAAATTTTATAATATTAGTACAAGCTGAGTATTAAAGCACTATTTCTGACATAAATATGCTGATATTTCTTGGCAAAGCTGAAAAACAGACATAGTGCATTTGGATTTTAGTCGCCTCTTACGACAGGCATACCTACGTCAGCCAAATTCTAACCCTTGCCCGCTGGGGGAACCACAGTAGGTCAGTGGTTTTCCGAAGAATTCGTCTACAAATGATAAACGATCCTTTTCCCGTGGAACCGGTCTAAAATTTGATAGTCTGCTTGACTTTCTAAAGCTAACGCTTTCGCGTGAAGTCCCCAAGTTAACAGCAAGCAAGTCCATATATTGAGGCTGACCTATCCAATGGTACCGGGTATCATATTTCCTTCCAGAAGATTAGCATTTATTTTCGTTACACCAGTGTTAGTTATAAACGACCGATCAAGAAATGGTAAAGAGTTAAAAGCTAATAATTGGTTGGCTGTTGCTTAATTTTTTAAAACAGTTTACAAGTATGTCGTAATTTCGAATTGCTACAAAACTTTTTGGCACCCCCACGTATTTTTTTCTGTTTGAAGTTCGTAATAAATCGGAAACTTACCTGCATTAGGTGGAAATTCGTAGAAATACGCTGATCTTGGACTTAAGCAACTGTAATTAGAAAGAGACGAAGTAGAATTAGAAATTTCGTATTGTGTGTGTGTGTGTGTCTATGCACTTAAATGTGGTTGGTAACAACTTCAACTTACTTTTGCTGCAGGAAATTCAAGTGTGCTACATTCGGCGGGAGTGTTTGATGGGCTTGTAGAGCTTGATGCTGTTGTTGTTGTTGTTGCAAATGCTGTTGGCTACCTGGCACTAATGGTAATTGCTGCTGCTGTTGTTGTTGTGCTGCTTGCGCCTGTTGTTGCTGCTGCAAGGTATGCTGTTGCAGTAGCTGCTGCTGCTGTGTGAGACCGCCACGTGCAACACGCGGTGCAAAAACACCATAACCAAAACCGTAAATTTCGTCCTCTTCCTTGTCGGACAGACAACTCGAGGGCTGCAAAGAAGAAGCGAGAAAACAAAAGTGAGTTTTGTTGGCCTATAAAGTAAGCGGGTTTGCGGATGTGTATACTAAAACTATAAATATATATGTATTTATATGTGTGTGTAGTAAATTAAATTGAGTGGGCTGTTAACAACTTTGCTGTTGGCGCAAAATTTCACGCTGATAAAAAGGCGAAGGCGAAAAAAGTGGAAACTAAAGTTGGTTTGGTAGAAAAGCAGCAAGTTGCAACAACCGCTTAGAAGTGGCAATAAAGTAAGCATGAAAAATAAATACGGACAAACACGGTAATGCCAAACCGAAGGATAAATATTTTCTTAGTTGTGTTGTGCACGAAATACTTGTGAACTGCTGTTTGTTGTGTTATTGTTATTGCTGAGCCGTAAACATGGCTGAAAAGTAATTTGAGCAGCTTTCATGCAGCTGCCAAGTGTTTGTGCAACTTGAACGCTAAAACGGATTAACACCTTCGAGACTTGTTGTTGCCGAAGAAAAATGCGAATAAACGAGTAGTGTAGGCTCCGGGCAGACGAAGGCAAGGGAAGGCAGCAGTAGAAAGTAAATAAAATGCGAAGAAAATCAAGCAAACTACATAGAGTAGCAAAATCAAGCAAAACGAGGCGACTTAGAACGGAATTACATTTCTCGTAAGCTGAAGAAATAACGGTATTGAACGAATGCACTAGTTTGGAGGCCGGCATGCTTGCACTGTTGCCTGGTAGCTAGTGCTGATTGCGAAGGCAACTAAAAGCAGGCATTCGGAGATGAAGAAAATACTCAAGAACATAAGAAAATGCCATAACGGTTACATGAGCAATTCAAATTTGTTGTATTTGTGCAAGCGAAATGAATCAAATGATGATTGGTAATGCTCTATTGCCTGCTGACTGGATATTTATTATCACATACATGTACATATATACTATATTTATTAGGGTGAACCAAATAAAAAACAAGAAAAAACGTTAGCTTTAGCTACACCGAAGCTATAATCTCCTTCAAAAATGTACTTTTTATAGCACAAAGAAATATAAAAAATATCTTAATCATGAATTTGATCTGACAGTTTGTATGACAGCTATATGTTATAGTGATCCGATCTAATTTCTAACATGCCAAATTTCTTGAAGTTCTCTTTTGTCAAATGAAAAAGATTTCCATACAAGCACTTGATGCCGATAGCTCAGTGTATATGGCAACTATTAGTCGACCAATCTGATTTTTTCGTTAATTGCTTTAGACAATTATGCATGCTAAATTTCTTGAAGATAAATTCGTTTTTGGCACACCCTAATATTGATACATACATATATAACTAAATTATTTGGCATCCTTGTAACAGTATATGTGCAAGTCGTACACTCCTGCTCTTGTTGCATTGAATTTGTACCGATCTTTCGAAATTCGGTTTGAGCATTGGATTGCTTGGGGACCACAAATACACAGCTGCGGTTTTCACTAGATTTCAAGATAAACTGGCAAGTAAGAAGGCAGCTCATCTTTCCTTTTGATATGGTGTAAGAAGAAGAAAAAATTAGAGAAGTAAAGGCGAAAAGCCGAAAAGTGAAATGCCGACAGCAAATATATTTATACACTATTTACGGTTGCATATACATAAACATATATTATAAATATTAGGTTTGCGTGTTTATTTAACTTTGCGAGCCAGTCGATTTTCAGCAGCTTACAAGTCAGTAACGCACTTCTTCTTGTTTTAGCTCAAGTGTTGGTCGCTTGACTTTCGTTTAATCCCCATGGACGCGTCAACACAAAGCAATTGCAAATGTTCATACATTGTTTTTAATTCATGAAAAGTTTCATCTTTGATTAAATGAAGGAAAGTAAATTTGTTTTGCGTCGGCCTTGGAGCGACTAACGGTTTGTATGCTCACTCAAAATTCCATAAGAAATTCGTTTGCATGAAAGTTGAATGCGAAATGGAAGCGAAAACTTGTAAACGTAATGAAAATTAATTATTCAAAATATTTATATGAGCTGGTCGCTCGACGCCAGCTCGGTTAGTAAGCTGTTGTATGGTAAAAAGCTTATTACGATATGCAACAATATTTCATAACCTTGGGAAGCTAAGACATAACATCCTTTTGTACTCATATTAGTCAATGTTATTTCATTTTTTGAGTTAAAAGTTTGCACTTTTATAGTAACCGCTTGGCGACCGTACAAAAAATTTGCATTACGCAGGGCTACTGGCTACTAATCACAGACTACTGTGCAATTGTCTGCAGTATTGTTTTAATTGTGTAGTATTAATAAGTTGAATATTTGATATTATTTGATATCAAAAAAAAAAAAAAAAAAAAAAAAATCGTTGTACCTTAAATGTGTTGTGAAACGAAATTTGCAACAAAATTTTTAACTTCGGTTCATAATTTTTTTGAGTAGTAAAATTAATTAAAATGTACTAAATATAACGTTTTTAAAGTTCAATGGTCAAAGCAAAATTCTTTCAACAGTGCTTTTCAAAAATGTTATCTTAAGACTGTTATCTGCTTTCTAAAGTAAACTGGCCTCTGTAGCCACGCCTATAGCTAAACCCTGTTATAGTATCCAATGCACGTATACCCTAAATTATAATGTAGTATCTTTTCTCAATAGAGGTGTATTTTGGTGACCAGTAGTGAGATTTTAAATGATAAGCTTGTAGTCATCCCTTGCGTAGAATCGATATACTTTCAAAGCATTTAAATCTATCGAATGCTTAGAAACAAAAAATCGCATTTAAAAACTGAATATGATTTACAAAAGTATTAATTGTGTACTACTTTTATTTGGAAGAAATATTGTAAATAAAAGCGTATACATGTTAGAGTTTACAAATTCATTGTTGCCGAACTCAGTCGATTTTCGAATCCAAATATTTTCATCTAATTAAAAAAAATTGTATATATTTACTACTTACATAACTAATCTACACATACATACCGAGTATTTTCCTGGCACATAAATTGGCTGACTATGACTATTTGGCAGGCCACCTTGGCTCGAATGGCCCCGATGACCATGATGCCGGTGGTGTGTGCTGACGCTGGGGCCACCAATGCCACTGACGCCACTACCACTACCGCTACTCCCACTGCCACCGGCCGGATTCAGTGGACTTCGCTCCGCCCACGCCGCTTGACGAGCGTTTTCTAAAGCACTTAAAATATCTCCAAAGGGAGCCATTAACAATTCACAATAGACGGATGCTAGACCCTCTAAATGACCGCGCTGACCGTCCTGCAAAAGACAAACACACACAAAACACAATACGATTACAACAACAATCAAACTAAATGGTTTCGGCGCACAAACATTTTATTTAGTTTAAGATTTTCTACGTTTTATTTTCGGAATGAGGGATTCTTCAATGATTTCGTTGTGATTGATGTTGCAATACAAAGAATGAGTGGAGTAGGATTTTCATTCTTGAAGCAGTGGAGAGGTGTGTGAATTGTAAGACATATATGTATTAGTGACGAGCAGTTAAATGAAGGCTGAGATGTTTATATGATGAAGTATGGATTATTGATTAGTGGTTATGGTAATTGTAATGAAAGATGATATTTGTTTGTGCAATGGAATGATTACTGGGCGGTCATGCGGATCATGGGTAATGCTTATTGTGGTCGATGCAAGGGAATAGGAAATTAATTAACTAAATTTTAATATCGTGATAGATGAGTGGGCAGTGGTTAGTTGGCATTTGAGGAGCTTATAAAAGAGAGAGAGAGAGCACCTTATACTGTTATGAGCAGATGTATGTATGTAGTGGATGTTAGAATGAGGGTTAGGAAGTGGACTAATAATTTTTGTATTTAAATATTGGTAATTGATTATTGTGATTTTACGATAACTTTGTGAGTAATTTTTATTTGGTTGAGAAATGAGGGAAACTACTAGTACTACTACTGAAGAGGAAAACTACTAGTGAATGTGAAGTGAAATGGCGGCTTGCGGTTGATGATGATTAGATGAAAAATTAATATATTTATTATATTTTGTTATAAAAGTTACAGAGAATTGATAAAGCAATGTAAAATGGTAAAACATGAGTAAAAAAATTACTTATATGTATGTATATAGTTACATATATATATATACCTATATATATAGAAGTAAGAAGAGTATTTTATTCCACTTAAATAGCAATATATTTAGCTTACTAATTGCATAATTACTCTTATCATACATTTCACTTAATTTTACTCGCTTAATAGCGCAACTTTTTTCAGCGTCACACTACCTTGACTAGCTTTTAGCACTTTCTCTACTTACAATAAATTATGCTCGCTGTGTGCGTTTTGCTTTATCAGCGCTGTCTCGCGCACAGAAATGCATTTATTGCTCGAACCAACGGTGCACGCTCAATACATGGCGATTCTACATAGCTAGCGGGCGCGCGACAAAAACGGCCAGCGCCTAAAAATATGCAACATTAATGTACAAGTGCAGCGAGCCACCGCGATAAGGCACGCCACAGGCAAATTTTTAATGGTTCACAAACACACACACACATACAAAGCACACATCTTAAGCAGGCATAAAGATACAGCGCACACAGCAGACATTATCGCGCGGTTAATTGCAATTCTTGAGACCCCACCACTTAAGTACGTACAGTCACCAGCTATAAATGAGTAATGCGCCCGTGCGCCTGCAAGAACAACAAAAGTATTGCTCGTTGGAAAATTAAATAAGAATTTTATATAATTTCTGCGCTTAAGTGTCCGTGCGCGCTCATACATATGTATGGCATAACTGTAGCCACACATGAATACACTTATATGTATGCCTATTTCTATGTGTGTGTAGCCAGCGCGCTGCTGCTACGAGCATGAATCAGCAACTTTAGTGGCTAATAAAAATGTTGTGTGCGAAAAATTACGAGCAAATCTCAATCGGCACATAAAAGCACGCAATCAGCGTGAACAAACGGTGTCAGCTATCAGTATCTAACGGGTATCCAATTAATTTTTAGAAAATTAACACTGAAGTTGAAGAAGTTTATGGTTAGGAATTAGCTTCTTTGGGGAGAAAAATATACGAAAACCAAATTAAATGGATATGTGCTGCTTTCGCATATAACAGGAGAGATCTGAGGAGAGAAGAGACAATCTATACTAATATATTATAAAGAGGAAATATTTAATAGTTTGTTTGTTGGAATTGAGTAGGCTCCGAAACTATTTAACGGATTTAAAAAGTTCTTCCACTGTTCGGAAACTACAAGTACATATAGGCTTTGTTATATTTTCAAAATAGCTCCCCTACTAGGATCCCTATTAAAACGCCAATAATGTAGCCCAAGCTGTAAAAAAAACGACCTAAATAATTCCATACATCACATGCGCTGCGGACCCCATTGATTATAGAACATAATAATGTACTACGACTTTGCAGAAAATATAATAATCTATGAAAATTTGTAGGAAAATAATTTGTGGCAATAATTTAAAAAAATTAAATTATTATTATTATTATTTAATAGTAACAATGTTTTTGTTTACAAAGTTAAATTAAAAATGCGCCTAAAAGACACTTTATAATTTTGTTTATAAGTATTTATGAGCAATCCAAGACAAAAGCTTTGTAAATATGCATTGGAATATTTAAAAAAATATTTTATAGAGAGCTCCAAATAATTTTGAAAGAATTCAAAGTTGTATGTTTTTGACATTACAAAAACTTATACGATAGCAGAGGCTTCTCGAAACACTACGAAACCAGAAGAAGTACTTATAGAAACACTTTCAAGGAAAAAATTCTGACAGCATAGCTAAGTAGCAGTCAGAAACAGGGCGCAGGCTATCCCAAAAGTAAAAAGTGAACAAATTTTATGCTACACCGCACAAATATCTAGATTAGTCAACCTAAAGCAACTTTGAGAGAAAACAATTTCAAATGTTTCAGAATTTTTACAAACAGTCTTTACAGTATTTTTGTGTGTGCGTAAATCAATTTACAATCCCATAATACCAAACGCCACACGAAATATATTTTTAGCTTGGAACATAAACATAGGTAAGTGCTTAATATAGATATTTTGGAATTTTACTCCAACATAATTTTGAAGGAAATTGCGCACAATAATTGCAGTCATTTTTGAAAGAAAAAAAGTAGACAATTTGGCAAAGTTTATATAGACATAAACGCGTATGTATGTACGCACATACGTAGATATTAGCAGAACGTGACTCTACACAGCTGCGACGTGAGCGCTCACTCTTAAAGGTGGTTTACAGTCGCGAGCCGTCGGCTATAAACTGGTAAACAGTTAAGGCTGCCGGAGGCGCGTGTGTTTAGCAACATACATAGGTAAGTGCTTAGAACTACGCATGTAAGCACAAACACTTCCATTACATACACACACACACACAATGAATAGGATGTCTTAGCTGTAATAAACCAGCGGTAGCACATATATGACGCAATATGGCTGAATTTCGATGCGCCTTAGACTAGCTACCGCATGTGTGTGCCTTGCCTAAAGGTGATTCAACAATTTCGAGCCAAATGTGATCTTACAGACAAAATTACTCATATGCAATGCACACACATATATATATATGTATGCATATACATATTACAGTCGATATGGAAAATTTTGGCAAATTCGTTAAGGACGACAAATTGATGCCACGTAGGAAGACCAAGTGGTGTTTTGATAAAATATAAAAATCCTTTTGAAAATGTTGACGTATTAATGTCTTTAATTTGTTAAAGGTGGGAGATAAATAGTTATAAAATAATAAGATATACAATTACAGATTAATATTAAGAATTATTAAATTGTAAAATTTGTCTAAACATTTTTTAGTTTTATTTTTGGAAATTTTGCAGTAATACAGCAAGTCAAGAATTCTTAGACCGATGACGGGCTCACGATGCTACATTCGAAATGCAAGCATTCATAAAGATCTTATGTAGAGGAAAGCAGAAAAAACATCCAAATCCATTAGCTATACCCTGCTACAATCTTGTAATCAAACCCGCTTGAAAGGAAGAGATCTAGATTCTAAATAGCATTTTTTATAGCAACTATACATATGTACTGTATAATTAAATTTGAAATCGTAAGCGGCCAACGTTTTATGTGCAGGGTACAAAGTTTTGTTCGCTCCTTCTACACATGTTGCTTGGTATAAACAACTTTCAAGTCGGTTATTTAAAAACAAAATAAAAATATTTTATAAAATCTTAATTTCGATTGGTCATTTGTATAGCAGCTGTATGCTATAGTGATGCGTTGTCGGCGGGTGCCACAAATAAGCAGCTTCTTGGGGAGAAAAGAATGTGTGCAAAATTTCAGACCGATAACTAGTTCGCGTATATAGATGGACAGACGGACATGGCTAAATCAACTCAGCTCATCACGCTGATCATTTATTTATATATTTTATAGAGTCTCCAACATTTTCCTCTGCATCTTACAAACTTCGTTGCAAACTTAATAAACCCTGTTCAGGGTATAAAAATACTTGGGCCGATAAACCGTTGGACTAAAAGCTCTTCTATACTATTATGCTTCTAACAGCATACCAGCATCAGTTTCTCTGAATGAACTTGCGTTCCAAGCCTCTATGAGCAGATCTAAGAGGCGAACCTGTTTATTTATAATTCTTACAGGTGAATTCGTTTGAAATTTATGTCCTGTTTCGTATACGAACAAGTTTACAGGTGTGTTGGATGTGCGGATTTGTTTTATTAAAACATATTATTTTGCAGATACGTATGTACATGTAGGTGTTTTATCACTCGTTTGATATAAATTTGGTACTCAGCTACTTTCATTACATTCTCGGCTGTGCTTTAATACTATAGGCAAAAAATATGAGAATTTAAAAAAAAATATTTCCCTTATGGCTCCTGTAGATTGATATAAAAAGGCGGAGATAAAGCAAGGGAAATTTGAGTGTTGCGTTTAGTGTAATTTACGTTCTTCCGACATATATTTTGATGACTGAATTTGCTTTCAAACATGCATATATACAAATAAATACATATATGTATGTGTATATACGCATACATATAATAACTATTTCTCGCCTTGAGCAATCTTAAGACTTAATAAGGCAAAACAACGTTGCTAAAATGAATTGCTAATTTGCTACAAATGGTGCTTTCAGGGGATGCGAAGAAGGAATGATATGTTTTAATAATAAGTATAACATCTGTCTCTATATGTAGTGTTTGCAGTGTGTATTTATGTATATAAAAAAAAAAACTATGTTTCTGTG